GACGGGTTCAACAAATTAATTTATTAGTGGATCAATGATCTACCAGATAAGTATTTTCACTGCTTATTGAATAAAACAGATCTTTAAACCTGTTAAATTATTGAAATCCATATTTTAATGCACAAATTAGTCAAAAATATATTTTAGTTAGTACTTATCAATCTTATTCGTCTTTCAACGCCGATTTCTAACTCGTTATTGTTTGTAAATATTACCGCACGGTGTATTAATTAATAAATAACTCATCTCAACATCACCCAAAGATTACATTATAAGCAGAGCAATATCTCCAGCTATTAACAGCTGCGTAGAAATTCGATGAAACAGATTAGTTTCACTTTCACCGATATCTGGTACCCACATCTTGTGAATAGACACTGCTTTGATACTTAAAAAAGCTTTAATAATTATTTATGTATCATCAAAACTACTGAAATTCTTCCACATGATTATGAATAACATGCTTTGCGATTGCAAATGGATAACGAACCTATAATTACTTCGCGAAAGTGTATTTTAAATTACTTTAAACGGTCAAGTACTGGACGATTTACCAGCTCCATCCGCTATGATACTAGAAATTGATGAACTTCATGATAAGTTTAATGTTATTCGAACATCGGAAACGAAATAGGTCGTAATAAAGCTGAAGGTGAAATCAAAAGTGGAGAGAATTCCAAAAGCGAAGAACAATGCGCAATGATGGAAAGGAATTTTGAATGTAGACTGTGACTTTTTTACCAATCAAAGACCTAGCTAGCGGTATTAAACGGGCCAGTCAGTGGCAGTGTTAATAGATGTGCATTAAATTACATGACTTGACAAAAACTGCACAAAAAGCGTGTGCGGTGGCTGATAGAAGAAACTAGTGCAGTGCACTACTAAAGATTGTTAACATTGAGTTAGGAGTAATCTTTTATTTGCTTTTATTTAGTATGATAAACAGTAAGGTTTGATTTGATTTGATCATTTATCTATACATATTTATATTTTTTATTAATCATTGATAGAGGTCTAAACAGTGTTCAAACTTTTATAAACCTTTTGACTTTGTCGTAGAATATTGAAATGCTTGCATCGCTTCTGTATCATTATTTAACAAATACCTACTACTGCACGTAATATTATCATTTACATTTTCACCTTTACTTTGACTGACTGACCAGAATTACTCTTTCTCTAGATTTAACAGCCGTTTGTAAGCTTATGTACCAATTAAACCGTCTTATTAGAATTATTACGTTGTAGCAGCGAAACGTGAAGATTCTGAGCAGTTTTTCAGAAAAAAGAAATTACCTAATAAGTACCGAGCTCAAAAGCTGTAATTATTTTCTGGAAATGTCTATAACAACGACCACTGGGGGTTATCTCAATTTGCGATCAATAGACCAAATAATTTTATAGCTCTTCACGTCAATCTTCAAATGCTGAATTCTCTATTACGTCTAACGGTTGGCCTCAGGGACTAACATAGGTACGACGCGTGTTTCAATTATCTTTCGCAGAACTAATGCCTTATTATCTAACTACTTATATCGTTATGTGTCAATAACCTTCGCTAAGTCACGTGATTGATCATAGGCCTATAGACATGCCTAAGTGAATACAATCTTTCGTAATTGTATCGTTAATCGTAAATATCTTCTCGTCTACTTTTATTGACCCAACTCACACTGAATGTTGTGAAAGTTACTGAAGTGAATCTTTATAGATCAATGGCGATCGATATAATTGCTGTCAGTAAAGTTGTATACTTTCACAGACGCGAAAATGAACCAGCAGTGAGATGAGAAGAGAGGTGTCCTCATACAAAACTGAATCACTTGGCACTTGATCAATTTACTCATACTCATGAATGTTTTTGTGAATATGAGTTGTACGCGAATGACCTAACCACTTACGAGAAATTATATTTAGTTTGGTATCATCTATAATGTTGTCACTTCCGCCTGTTATGCGTGATTTGATTAAAGAAATTACATAATATACTTTTTGTAGATATTCGTCATACGTCTCATATACCCCTCTAAATCAATTGTTTCCTGTTTTTGACTGCTAGTAGCACGTAGACCTAATTGGTAGTCATTGAGAAGTCACCACTCTTACAATAATATTTTTACGATGGAGAGAAGTCAAAATAATTGATCTTCAAAGACCTTCATTCAATGTATTGAAGCTAAAGTCCATTTAGGACAGAACATGCAAAATATTTACACGCAACGACCATTCATGCATACTCGAAACACTCTACTTACTATGTGGCTAATGGTACAACAAAATAACCAAGTTCAATGATGCACAGAGAGATTAAACCAAGATTATACAGTTTTCACGGTTTTGTATTAGCTAGCACTTTTAATAAATTTCTTGCGAACACCGTAAAACTGAAAGAAATCTGAAAGAAAATAAATGAGAAAGGCACAAATTTATTAAAACTAAGTGCGGAGATAATCTTATACGAGTACCTTGAGCATGACTCAAGGATGCTCCGCGAATAAATATGAATCAAGAACAAAATTTGCACTTATTTTTACACTCGGGAAAGCAAATCATAAGCCGAGTGAATTTAAATATAGCTTTGAAGCTGATGTTCAACAATAAATCACAAATAAAAGAATTTACAGAGACAATGCAGCCTATTATCTATTATGCATGTAATAACAATGAAGGAAGGAACATTAAAAATAAAAAAGGAAAAAATATAAATTTATTTTAATCGTAAATAAGTACTTTAACACGCAATTATTTTTATTCATTTAGTGGATTAACGCAGTCAATTAAATCGAATTTAAAATAATATACCTATAAATAAGTAAAAATAATTAAATATGACAACATAAATATTGCCTCCTACATTTATCATAAAATGCTTCTGCAGGAATATTTACCTACTCAATACTCACACATTATTTAGAACTCATGAGCATATTAACATAGCTGCAGTTTTAAAATTAACCCACTTCAATGAAAAAGTTATAACTAATGAATATTCATTCAGTTGAACACACATAGACATTTTTAATCGAGGAAGTTTAAAAAGGAAATTAAAATGCATAAGAGGCTAATTAAGTAGTTAATAGGATCTACAGATTATTTATTACTTATAGCCATAGCTGGGCATTAACTCGTTAATCCGTTAATCGTTAATTAACGAAGTTAACATTTCTATTAACGGATTAACTTTTAAGTTAACTTTAAAAAATGTTAACGGACTCGTTAACTTCCGTTAAATTATCCTAAGTCCGTTAATCGTTAATCCAGTACCTACTATTTACCAAAAAGATACAGCAGGCACGCTGAAAAACACTAGAAAAACGCGTTCTGACAAGTACTTTCGGGCTACAAGAACATCCAGAAAAACAACAGTTTTTGTAACCAGAACGAAACGATATAAAAAATTCATTTTTTCTAAAACAAGCTTTATATTGACTTGTTAGTATGTGTGGGACAAATCTTGCAACTGAATTTAAGACCAGTTCTCAACCGATTGAGCTGAAATTTGGTATACTTATGTAAGTACGATGAAAATGCAATGTTATGGTACCATTAAGGTGGTCTGATGATGGAGTCAGGAGGTGGCCATAGGAATTCCTAAATGAAACGGTGGAAACTTATTGAGTTTGGGTATGTTGGATTTGTCTTTCGGGCACTTTTGTGCTAAATTGTATTGTAATTGAACCAAGGCTCTGAGATTGAGATACTATAGACTAAGAGCTGGTGAACGCCAAACCTACGTCATTTTACAAAAGCTGAAAGTTTGTCAGCGTATGCTCTCAATATAGGTTAGAATGTTGGTGGATTATGAAGTTTGGGTCATCGTTGCTTTGGCAGCTATCCTAAAAAAAACTCTCTGGCAAGGAGTTGGAACTGTCAAAACTGTGTGGCTGATGTCGAAACAACTTCTAATCATTGCCCAAATATTATACATAAAAAACAGATTTTATGGTATAACGTAAGTAGAATTACAGTCTATTGAATAATTTGAAGTAGTTGCCTCATCAGGAAGACGGTTTTGACAGTTCCAACTCCTTACCTGACAGTTTTTTTAGGATAGCTGCTAAAGCCACGATGACCCAAACTTTATGATTCATCAACATTCTATCCTATACATATTTACGTACGTAGACGCGTTTACTAGCTCTTAGTCTTCTACTAAAAAGTGTAAAATTAAATTATAATAATAAAATACTTTTTTTAAAACAAGCTTTTATTCTGAAATGCAGTTGTTACTAAAACGAAAAAAATAAAAGAGGAATAAATTCCGTGCGCGATACAAGCTTTCGAAATTATTTGAACCTTGCATACAATTACTTTTTTCGTTTTATTATCATGTGTTAACGGATTAACGATTAACGTTAACTTGCGTTAAATCTTGCTAAATGTAACGTTTTAACGTTTAACGAAGTTAATTTTTTTATTAACGGTTTAACGATTAACGAAGTTAACTATTTGATTAACGGTGCCCAGCTATGCTTATAGCCTAACTGCATTTTTCACAATAATTGAAACTACTTAATAAGTTATTATTTAAACCAAGTTGTATAATAACATTGTATTAACTTCATCAATAAAAAATATCGTAGAATTAGCCCGTGCGCTATAATATTTCTAGAATTGATTCTGCAACCTAAACTAAACCTGTGGGTCTAGACAAAGTGCAAATTATAATCGCAAACCAGTCGAAAAGTGGTCGAAAAGCCCCTTTTTTGTATGGAGTTTTGACGGATTCGATTTTCGATTCGATCAAAAAGTGCGTTCTGTCTAAGGGGGACTGTGCCTTTACTAAGAAGTAGATTTCAATCGTGTAGGTATTGCATGAGTCTTCATCTGAAAACGCGGGTATTATCTACCTACAATATAGACCACAATTAATATAAAAAGCTTTGTCCTCAACATGAATAATGTTGGTTGGAACCCTTTTGTAGAGCTAGACACTATTTGATGTTCAATTTTCCCTCTCTTTAGCAATCTAACTTGACATGAAGGTCTTTGGTCCCCAGGTCCAACTCCTGCAGCAGCAAGTGACGTCACTGGCCGACACACAGAGCACGGCTGATGAGCGGTACGCGAGGGCGAAGGCCGACAACGCCGTGCTGCAAGCCAGGGTCCACATGCTGGATGAGCAGATCAGAGAAGTAAATTATCTTATCTTATCTTATCTTATTTACGGGCCACGCCCACGCCTGAGCGCAGTACACGTCAACCTATCAGGATCTTTTGTGCTGCCCCTTACCTTTATTCCCTCTCATCCGCAAAGTGGGGAGCTCTGAGAGTGGAATATTGCAGTGGTAATTTTTTTCCAACTAAAATAATATACACAACTACCAGTAGTTCTAAGTCTTTATTAGAACTGGTCGAGAAATTGCTAAGTAATAAAAAAAACATAAAATTAAATTACTTAATGATAAAAGGAATTAAGGGATTAGATTGGAATCTATTAATCAGACTGAAGTAAACACGAGTTCCAGCCAGATTTAGCTTTAAATTCAATATCATCAATTTCATGGGTAATCTTTATAGATGTGATAATTAATTATATCTAACAGCAAAAATTTATTACGATTTATAAATAAAAGATAACAAGGACTTTTCCGTACTGGTAACAAGTACGAAATGAAATGTTTAAAATGTTTAAGCTGTCCTTTAAATGCTCTCGCTTTCCACTTTAATAGTGATTAAGCTTCTTGTTCAACTTGGTCCTTCTCAAGTGGCTTAGCAGAAAAAACTCTTAACAATATAGGCCAGTAGAATTAGATTTTAAATCGGAAATAATTCCTACAAAAGATTTTATTGCGCCCCTTTCGGGGGCCCCCGCCACTTAAGCACAACTCCGTCGAAGTCAAAAATCTAGGAGAGTCTTTATGGGCAACTAATGAAGCCATTAAAGCACTAAAATCTTTAGTAGGAATTATTTCCGATTTAATTCGTTTTTGTGTTTAATTCTACTGGCCTAATAATACTTATTTTGTCGTTTAGATCGAGTGCAGATGCGAGGAGCGCATCGCGGAGGAGCAGCGGCGGTGCCGCGAAGCCATCGCCAGGGTGGAGCGGGACAGAGACGCGCAGATGGCGGTGCTCACCGACCGACTGGCCACTGCCGAGGCGGAGGCCTCTGATCTCAAGCAAGAGGTAAGGGCTGAGCCTATAAGACCAGAACCTCACATGATCGTGATTGACGATAAGTTCTAAAATCCAGTACACTCAGTCTGTAGATTACCAATTCACTCGTGTCGTGAAGACACTAAAATTACTGATATTCCCGTTGACTCCACCAGTTAAGCTAAATGATAGGAGTAGGATCACCTTTAACAATCCAGCGGTCAACGAATATCGACTATAGTTTTCTTCAAATTCATAAATAGGCAGCTCGATGCCCAAAGTGGAAATTTGTTCGCTTCAAGGTAAACTTGTAAAAGTATTTGGAAGTCAAAGAAGTGACGTGAGACTATCTCAAATTAAAATTTTAAGTAAGTAAACAAATTCATTCCAGGAGGAGTAAGGCCTGATTTTGTCGGCTTACAGCTAAGCAAAGAGCAAGCCAAATTTACAATTCAATATATTAAAATTAGCTTGGTAAAAGGACATCGAGTTGCCAGTTCACAGTGTAGATAACGTGCTTAATTAGAATGTTATTTGGAATTTGTGTGATGGTGCAATGCAATTCCTTCACCGATTCTGCAGATCACAAATAATTACGTAAAATTTTAACATACCTACCTACTTATCCAATGATATCATTATTAAACATGATAACAAAGGGTTAATGATCATTCCTCTGTATTCCAGGTGGGAAGACTCCGTGGCGTAGCTGAAACCCTCAGAGCGAACGCTGAAATATCAGTTAGAGCTCACCGCGAAGCCCAAGAGCAGGTTGGTGAGCTCGCTGCCCAGCTCAACGCAGCAAGAGAGGCAGAAAGGCGTGAGAGAGAAGCTGCAGCTGCTACAGCAGACTTGCTGGCTGCGGCTAAACTGGAACTTCAAAGATTGAGAGATGCGCCTCCACCCCCACCAGATCCGAGGCTCGATGAATTGAGAAAGGAACTCACGCTGCTTAGGACACAGAATAAATGTAAGTCGCCTATAAGTTTTACATAAGGAATGGTAATCGATACTTCCCGGCCTTTGTCCAGCAGTGGACGTCATTTGGCTGAAACAACAACAACAACAACTTCCCGGCGATTTTTAGTCTTTATCGACTCTTGCAAAGGTACTCAGAGGTTTGCACGTACGCACGCCGATATATCGTTCATTTATTCGCCATTGCCAGTCAGGTAATTTTTTTATCGAATTTACCTAACCTTGTGTATTGGTCTTATCACATTTATTATTATGATTCATATCATACATTTCTTATGATATTGATATAAATAAAGCGTGCGTTTAAGTGGGTGTTTCCGTGACAGAAGATAAAAGATATTATCCCAAACCGTATACCTAGCAGTCACGTTTGCCATGGTGAACACTATTAAGTAAATTCACTCCTTAAAGCAAACCAATAACCTTGATTTTTCCTTGCAGCTCTATCGGAAGCGCAAGAAGAACTGCAGGCCCAGATTCTAACACTCGGAGTGGAAGAAGGCCGCAGCCTGCTGGACGGCGTCAGCGGCCCTCTCGTTGGAACCAACTCCTTGGCGCATGAACTCTCACAGATGAGCGATGACGAGGTAAATACAACACCAGACTAAACCAAAACATTTAGGTTTCCATCCATTGATAGGCAACATCATAAGTCCAACATTACTTATCATTTAACAAGCAAACAACAAACGCATTTCATGGTAAAAAAATAGGTTACAGTGACTCACGCACATTGATGATTTGGGATCGTAAATATTGTTTTATACTTACTCACATTTCGTGCAAGAAATTTCTCACATTATTATTTGTAATGATTTAAAGACAATAACTAAGGAAGTTAAGATTAAACAAATAACACGCAATTAATGATCGGAAGTATTATGTTGAAACAATCACAATGATAAAAAATGTGGTAGTATTAGTATAGTTTAAAATGTCTTCCTTCTTACAAGCAAAACATCAATGAACTGTGAAAACAATCACTGTACTTGTTTATCAAGGCAATTAAATGCAAATTTCTGTCCGTAAATAGTTACTATAAAAACCATGCCCATAATTTTACAACGAGAGCTAATGAGTATGTTTGCATGCAAAGCTCGACTGTTATTTTCATATGCAAGTAAAATTAATTTCAAACATTTGCATAGTGAAATTGAAAGCTTTAAATGCCATATTAATATTCTCAGTTAATTTAAGATACATAGAATGCTTTGCTTTGACTACTGACATATTTGCGAAGCTATATTTTTATGTATGCATTTTTGCAGCTCCATGGTAGCGATACACAAACTGATCTCGACATAGAGATGGAAAAGGTACGATTTTTTTACTAACTGTGCATGTTGTACCTTTAGTTAACTATCCTACTAACTTATTATGCATGCTCTCCGCTATATTTCTATACTGTACTATCATTTTGTTACATTTTGCATCAAAATGGTACCTTTTTCATACTGTGGGCTTACAGCACGTCGCCAGCGATAATAATATCATCGATATACATACATGTTTGAACGCACTGCTCATATCAATTACCCATTAAACTATTTTGGTTTCTACTTTGGTTTTACAGCAACCTGCATTCAAAAGGCATTAACTAAACTTGTTTTTTTTCTCATTGCAGTTGCAGAAAGCTTTAAAAGAACAACAAGATGTCAACGTCCAACTGCGAAATTACATAGACGGTATCCTATTGACAATTGTAGAGAATTACCCGCAATTACTGGAGGTCAAATATCAAAAGGATTTAGGGGAGAAGTCATAACATATGATGATACAGTTCAAAGTTTTCCAATTCAACATTTCGGCATTATTTAATTTTGATATTTTATTACATTTTTATTGGTTTTCACGTATAAAAATTATATTACGAAAAAAATTATCGATTTTGATGTTAAGTGTAATGTTTGTACTGTGATAAAAAGAAATAGATAATTATTTGTTTCGTGAATGAAAAATTAAATCTTATGTTATGTTGAAAGTCTTCTCCATAAATGTTTGTAAATAGTTTGTCGTATAAATAATAATATACCTACTTTAACATTAAGGACCTGNTGGAACTGTTCCTTTTAATGTGTATAATATTAAAGGCTCTTTATGTTAGTAGGTATGTTCTTACAATGTTAATGAAATAGAGTTTTAGAATTAATATTTTATACAGATCTGTGCAAACTATGCGTATTGTTATTAGTAATTACGCAAAGGCCAGGCCGTCCATAACGTTTATAAACTACTTAAAGCAATTATTATGAAAGACTGGGAGCGAATGTTAATTTTGGGTGCATAAGATAGTTAATTTGTAATAAAAATATTTAGGTAGAATCACTAAAAAATCTAAAATGCCTAAAGCCATTAAAATGAAGCGTGAGAACCTAATTGGGTCTGCAGCTTCAACCCCTAGATCTAGATTAAAACATTTGTTAATAAGAGAATTTATGTACCTATATTTTTACAATGAGATATTTATAATTTTAAAATGTAATATAGGTTTGTAGGCATTTGTGTACATTTTGATAACATGATTAATAAATAGCTGTAAAATAGAAGTAATTTTAATTAGTCATTCTCATAAATTAAATGAAATTGTAATTATTCAGTCTTTTATTGCTTAATCTTATAATTATGAAAGTTATAATAAGTATACCTAAATTACTATTCTTCTTTTTCGTCTGCACCGTCTTCGCCACCTTCCTTATCGCTTCGGTCCAAGTTGCCAAACATTTTCTGGATATCAAGTCGCAACATCATAAATTTTGGATCCATATAGTCCTGTAGACAGACAATTTTAATAAGTAAAAGTACCACAGGTATAACTGGGACATGATGCCGCCTAGTTTTAGAGTTTTAGACTGTAGTCACAAGACTGGTAATTTTAAGCTATTATAAGAAATTACTTTTTAAAATGGTAAAGCTAAGTGAACACGAATTCACTCATCAACATTCAAATCATCATTAGTAGCATAGTAGTAAGTGTCCTAGACAACGCTCTTGCCTAATTCATTAAGTATGACTAACTTACTTTGAAACCTCCAGACGTAGACTCCATTGCTGATTGCGGTTGCAAACTATCAGATTGTGGTCCGATTTCTTCCACGTGTCTACCATCATGCCCTGATATCGACATTCTACTCAACTCAGACCTTTGACGTAAATCCATTTGCTTCTTCAGTTTCAAACTCACTAATTCTTGAGCAATTGCTTTCATAGCAGACATCACATTAGAATCACCTTCGTCTCTCGAAACTGATACATTGTGGTAACTATCAGGAAAGGTATTAGCTGTCTCGAAATTATAAAGTGGAACTTGTTGTGTCGATTTACATAAAGAACACTGTTGTCTGCTCTCCATTTGTTTCTTTTCATTATGAAGCGCTAATCGTTCTCTCGATAAGGATACTTTTTCCTTAGCTATTTGTTTTTCCCTTGCGTTCAATGATACAGCGTGTTCCTGAATGCGACGTATTCTTTCTTCATATTTGCTTTGGATGAGTTCGGCTTCGGAATACTTTTTGTCTGCTTGAGATTGTTTTTCCATTGCAGCTTTTACTAAAAGTTCTAAATCGCGGCCTCTGAAACAAAACGATATAATTTTAAAATATGGTGATCTTATCTTGATGGTTTCTCAATATTAATAGTAGGTATTGATATTGCTATAGTTACTTTGCCATAATTCTCTGTTCATCCATGTGTGACTGTTGTTTTTCCAAATTCAATCTCAATCTATCTTCTGCAACTTCTTCCATTTGAGCCTGCAATTCAGCTTTCATTTTCTGAAATTTTAACGGAAAATTATCATAATGTTTTAGCAATCATTTCTAGAATTTCTTTTATTTACTTTGCTTTAATTACTATAACTACCTCCAGCTCTTGTTTTATGCTTTGTATTGAAGCTTTTTCTTTCGCCAATATGATACTATCTTTTTGCACATGCATTTTCTCTTCATTAAGTTTGTCTATTTTTTCACGGAATTCTCTTTGCATATCTTCTTTCACCATCTGCACAATAAATCGTTTAAATAATTAATTAATTTGTATAAACTACCGCAGTTAGTCCCTGTAACGTACCTTAATCTCTTCGTCTTGTTTCTTCAGAACATTTTTGGCAAATTCCGTCTGCTTATTGAATGTCGCCTTCTCAAATTCAAACTCCATTTTCTTCTGTTTCATATTAGCCATCTCTTCTTCTATTGACTGCAACACCATGAAATTAATGTGGTGATTATTAAAATTAATTAAAAAATCTACTAGGCTGTTTCTTTCATTAAAAATATACTTGCCTCATTCATCTGTTTGAGTCTCGATTCTAATAACTTTACTATTTCTCTGCTTTCTATTTTTTCTTTTTCAAAGTTTTCACGATCGGTTTTCAGCTGCTGGATCATATCTGAAATATGCAAGATATTAATAATTTAATCATCTAAAGGTATATTAAGTTTTTGGAAAGGAAACTGACCATTAATCTGAGTTTGCCTTGATTCTACACTTCTTTCTGCATCACGTTGTGTGTTCTCTGCAAGCGATTGAACTCTATCAACCAGCTGTTGAAACTGTGTTTTATTCTCCTTTACATCTGATACCAGCTCTTGAAGATTTGAGGAGAAACCTGCAGCATCTTGAATGAGGGTTTGTTCTTGCTTCACTGCATTCCTTTACAATGGAAAATCATATTTTAAACTTTCGCGTTCAATTTCAAACTAAAATAAAAAGACACAGGTCTTAAGGCGACATTTAAGACTGAGTTACATTATAGTACATAGTAGTCGAAACGTCAAGCCGTGAGTTCACAATGTAACCCAGTCTTTCTATTTTAGAATGAAAAATAATTTATGTACTGTAAGTAGATAGAAATTAATTAATGAAAAAAATTAAAATTTTATTGACACTCGCTTTATGTTATCCATCAGAGTTGCATGGTGTTCTTGAAGGATCCTGACGTTTTCAAGATGCTGTTGCCTTAACATCTCATTCTCAGCCTTATGACGTTCCGTCAGAGCTGTCAAGTTCTCTTCTGTAAGCTTCTTGTACAGCTCTTGATGTTCCTCCAGCCAATGTATCTTCTCCGAATAGAACTTTGACAGCTTCTCGCTTTCTTCTTTCATTCTTTCTTCGCCTTGACTTAGTGATACTTCTAGGAAGGCCAGTTGTCGTCTGATTATGAATGAAATAATTTAATATCATGATAAATTAACCGATATTTTTAGAAAGAAATGTTTAGAATTACCTATAAGATGTTTCCATCAAATCTATTTCTTTATCATGGTTCTCTTGCAAAGACTGAACCAATTGCAACAGCTGCTTCTTTTCTTTAATGTGAGGACTTTCTTTTCGCTCGCCTGGTGTAGCGTCTAGTTCGTCGCTGGAATTTAATATGTTTTCTTCCGTGTTCGACGTGCCTAATAGAGCCTAAAATGATAATCACGTTGGTTTCTAAGCAGATAAAATACTAACAGTAAATAAACAATAGTAGCCAGTTCTACAAAAGGTCAACAAAATCCTTAAAAGCAGTTAAATCAATGGTAAAATCACTTGAATTTTAAAAATCTAAGAGCAGTAGGTTTGACAAAAGCAGCTTTGCTTGTGCGAGTAAGCAAATAGGCCGGGGATTATCCCTGATGTAGATTTGGGCTTACAAATTCATCGCCCTTAGAGGGACCTTACAATGGATCAACGCAATAATATACAACCCCCAACTCCAAGAGAGCCTGGACTGGGTACTGGGTTTGCCATACAACCTTGATCCTCTGGCTTATCCTCTCCTGGTGCGCGCTAATGATGGCCTGCATTTGAGCGCGATGCTGCATCTGTCTCTGCAACATGGCGTCCAGTTGGTCGTGATGAGCCCGCGCTGCTTCGCGGTGCAAGCGCTGGCTTTCGTTTTGACGCACTACCAACAAAGCAAGTTGGAAAAATAGACAAAGGTTTCAGGTTTGTAAAAAGTGTAAAGAGGATAACGAAGTCGTTCCAGTGTTTTGTAAAATATTCGAGGCATATTGATATTTCAAGCTAATAGGACTTTGTGCATTATTAATTTCACCTACTGTGCTACTGCGCTTTCTATTAGGAGGCACTAGATTAGAAGTAATTTTTGTATTATGTCAGAACCTTTGATAATTTTAAAAATTTTGAAACTTCTTCTACATTTAGCATTCTACAAGTTCTTAAAATAATTCTACGTACTTTGCATAGAAGCAAGCTTTTCTTCCTGCGCCTTCAATTGCAGAGCGACCATCAGCTGTGACTCTTGTTCCTGCATGTACATTGCTGCACCTTCTGCCGTTAGGTCTTCATTGCTACCTTGTAATTCGACAGGTTTCAACATTGGATTTATTGTTTGCATTGGTTCTACTACTGACTCTTTTACCTTTTCTTTTTCTGTTACTACATCTCTTTCTTCCTCTTTCGCAACCTCTTTTGCCTTCTGCGGTGGCTCTTTAGTTTCAGTATTAGCAGCCTTTTTCTTTTTAGAATCTCCACCACCAAGCCAAGATGGCATATCAGTAGCATCCTCATTTTCTTCTTTATCCTGAAATATTCCCAGCCAGTCTTCACTAGTCTTTTTCTTTGGCGCTACATCTTTAGGTTTTTCAGTTTTAGCAGGTTGTTTTGAAGGAACGTTCTTGCTTGATACACTAGGTTTTGATTCACTTTTGCCCAAAATCGAATCGAAGTCAAACTCCTGACTCTTAGCAGCAGTAGCTGGGCGGGTAATTTGAGTGGAACTGGGTGTTTTTACTGAACTGCCTCCAAGAATATCATCTAGCAATGACTGCGAACTTTTGCCCTTCTCAATAGACTTTTGCCCTGCATCTTTCTTCGTATCAAAGTTCAAGTCTCCTAATATGTCAAGAGAGTCTGCACTCGCACTGATTTTAGCTTTTGCTGGCGATTTCGCAGTCTCCACCGGCTTTTTAGAATCAAATTTCACAGATTCTTTGGAAAGGGTGCGTTTGAAAGGAGCTGGTGAAACTGGCTTAAAACTTGAAGCTTTCGGTTCATCTGATTTTACATCTGGCTTACCCAAATCAAACAACGAATCCTTTTTAGCTTCAGAAATACTAGTGCTTGGCTTGTCGACATCTAAATTGAACAAGGCGCTCTTTTTTTCAGGAGTTGGGGTACCTTTCTTTTTTACAGGTTTTTTCTTTCCCAATATATCATCATCAAAGAAGCTATCGTCACTTCCATCGCTCAGTATGCCCGCCAATGGGTCGTCGATATTAAAACTCATGTTATTAAACAAAACAAATAATGAAAAAATTAACTCGCAAAATCTTAAGCGAAACTCGTTTGTTTACAAAATCGCCGCCATGGAAACGGAAATTGCCAACATGACAGCTGTCACTGATCATTCATAGACAAATTGAGAGCTAGAGCTATTTAGATAATGCAACGACTAAACATACGACAAAAAATAATTTTTGACAATTGATAAATTTATTGAAGTTTCTGTTTCTGAACGTAAATAATCAGTGAAAACATTTTTTTGTCTGTGGTAAAATTTGTTGCTTCACGTCAGCCAGTCGGCTGTATTTTAATTATTTTTCAAAACAAATACAGTGTTTTTATAATTTTATTCATTAAAAACATAAAGTGTACCTAAAATTATGGAATATATAGGTAAGCTTATTGTTTCTGCCATTCTTATTTCTCGTAGAAATGTGTTTTACCAGTCCTTACAGTCCAGTGTAAGGAGAGCTTTTGTTCTAGAAAATTGCTAACTCACGATAATATGTTGCTTTTCAGCGTCTGAAAAGGGAGATTCAACAGAAAATCGAGATCCAAATTCTTTAATATCAAATGGATCGTCAAAAGATGTGGTAGAGAGCAAATCAGAAGTTGAGAAGGAGAATTCACATATGGAAGCTCCCACAGGGAGCGCCGCATGCACGTCGGAGACGACTGATGAAACCGAATTCTGTGAGATTCCGGAACAGGTCGAATTTACCGTAGTTTTTAACAAGAATAGGCATGACATTACATTTGCGTACGATGCGTCTGTGCTGGATTTGAAGGCGCATCTGGAGAGAATATGTGGAGTGCCACAATCCGCACAGAAGCTCATCATCAAAGGGATGGCCCGCGACACCATGACATTGAGGAATGCTGGCATTGTCAAAGGTGGGAAGGTGATGCTTGTGGGTTCCAAAATGGATGACATATTGGCTGTGAAGAGTGCACCTAAGGTAAGTTTTGTGATTAAATAAACATTCATAAACTAGTCAGTTTTAATAGACCTAATTGACATGTATTTATTTTTGTAGGAAATATTAGAAGAGAAAGCAAACAGCCAGTCAAGTAAAGAGCCTTTATGCATGCAGAAAATCCACAGGAAAGTCTTAGATAAGGGTGTCCCCCCTGATGTAATGCCAGGCATCAAAGGAGTCAAGGTAGGACACACAAACTTCAATTTCTCTTTCTCTTTTACAGTCATTACACTTTCAATTCTACATTGAAGTCATCAGCATGTTGTATAACACTGTATAACATAAATTTTTGCCTCTTTTACCTCATCAAACTTAGTTTGTGACTGTATCTAGAGTTGATTATTTTGCTTTCAGGAACCACTGCCTCCCATACCCCTCAGTGGCATGTTAAATAAACATGGTGGCAAAGTGAGGCTCACCTTCAAACCAGAGCAAGATCAGCTTTGGATCGGCACAAAAGAGCGCACTGAAAAACTGGCCATGACCTCTATCAAAAGTGAGTACCATATACTATCTATTTGATCGCATCTTTGATACGAAATCATATTCTTACTAGTGATTTTTTTAATTCATTCAATAAAATAAACTTTGTTGATTTCTAATCCCATCCTTTTCTTTCAGGTATCACATCTGAACCCATAAAAGAACATGAGGAATATCACATCATGGTGAGTCATGTGTATTTCAGTCACTAAAATCTTAAACTACCACACTGTTTATCCAATACACATTTGGCGCTGCTCCAACAATAGCAATGATGACACTCCACATTGATAACGTCTTTTTGTCTCGCAGGGACTTCAGCTAGGGCCTACCGCTGCCTCCAGGTATTGGGTATACTGGGTCCCGGCGCAGTATATAGAAGCTATCAAAGATGCCATACTCGGAGTGTGGCAGTTCTTCTAATCACTCAATCAATTCTCAGTCCATTTGATGTCTACCTTCCCATTAATGTATTGGGTAGTTGCAATAAAATTTATAAATGTGTATCAAAATTCATTTCTATCTGGTACAATGTAATAGTACCAATTCTTTTGTGATAACATTATGCCATGTCAATTAAAATTGTCCATTCAAATGCTGGCATCTATCTGGTCATACGAGAAATTATTTATTATCATTGTAAGTTTGCATTTTGTGCATTTGGGTTCAGTAAGCTGTAAAATGTTGCTGATCAAGTAAGATTTCTATGGATGGTGTGACCTTGAACACATGCATTCACTGAGCTTATTAATTATGTACCCTTCAAATTTCAAACCTGATCTCTCTATGTGAACTTTACAATACTGTCTGAGTGGAGGATTGGTCAGGATCATATTGCCCAGACTGACTTGACTGTCAAATATTTCATATTGATGTTAGTGTAATGTGATTGTAGTGGATCTAAATTTACGTATTTAAATTATTGAGCAAACTGGTATTGAAACCAATCCTTCACTACTGAATACTTTTGATCATAGAATTAGATGAATAAAATGTTTTAAACAGGTTTTGCTGGTTTATATTTTGACCCTCATCCTGANGATCCTGATAATAATTAAAACTCCATCAATTCAAACTTATAAAATTTTATTTAAATCTAGAAGAAAAGTAAATACTGTCAATTTGAATAAATTAAAGCTAAGAGTAGTTGCACTACAGAATACATGGCACACAAGTTTGTATAAAAGCACAATAGTGTAAAAATAAGTAAAAGGTACATAAAAATTTGGCATCTCGATATGTAAACATACATTTTGTACTACATTAAAAATATACATGAAATTATATTGCATCTTTTACCCATATTCTGACTGCACTGTCAAAGAAAACTGACCCTTGGGAATGCTGGTTGCATGGTACCAAATACGGGTATCCAAGAATACTGAAAAAGAAAAACATTTTTTGCATTCTAACTTTACATAGAGATTATAACTTAGTTGAGCTAGATTAATCTGTTACTAGGCAGGCTTCACCAATCTTACCTACATCCCCTGGTTCAACATAATAGCTAATTCTACTGCAAACATGGTCACATTCAGGCACTGGTGCTATGGTCCAGAGCTTGTTCCCTTTCACTTGGCCCTGCCACATCAATCTTGGAATATAATCCAACTGGAAATAAAGTTAATGGACATACTTCACAACATGAATAAAGAAACATTCAAGTTTTAATTCTAACTAGCTGACCCGGCGAACTTCGTACCGCCTTAGCGTAGAGATTTTCTTAATATTTTTTTCCGTAAGAACCATCCTTGGACTTCCACAAACATTTTAAAAAAAGAATTATCGAAATCGGTTCAGCCGTTCACACGTGATGCCGTGACAACGCGAAACGGGTTTCATTTTTATATATATAGATAGATAAGCTAAATTGAGACAATAAAGAATACTTTATGAACTACTGTAATGTTAATTTGAGAAATCACATCTATTATTTTAATATTCATCCTACAATGAAGATACATAAAACTTACATGCATAACAGCTCCAATCTCATACCCAAAAAATATGTTTTCTGTAGCTGGAAATTCAGCATCTACTGGCAAAAATTCAGGTACATCATAATACTGTCTTACTTTAGCCAATATCTCAGGGTGGCAGTTACCCCTGAAAACAAAAATAGTATTAAGTGTAGACAGTGTAACTACCTATAAATAAAGTATGTAAGATAAATAAGCACATCAGTAGGCTTTATTATCTTTTTATGAGACCAAAATATTTTATAATGCAATAGCATTTTGATGTTTAACCCACTTGTTACTTTCTTTCTACTTTCGTTCTTTTAAAAGAACGCTAGTTTTTACATAAATATTTTTACTAATGTGGGTAATGTAAACAATTTTTATGTGCAACATTTGAAAGATGAGGTGTGTCGCAGCACTGTCCAAGTCTTATAAATACACTGACGTAAATAACTATAAAGTTTTGGAGCGATTGTTTTGAGATAAATATAACATGACTGATTTAAGGTAAGTGATAGAAAAAGTGAATTCCGTAACAAGTGGGTTAAGATAATACAATGAGCTAAAAAAGGGTCTCAAAACAAATTATATTCCAGAAAGCAACTGACCAGCCTACATACCAGGGCTCCTGCCCTGGCTCGTTCCTAGCCCTAGCAGCAGGCATATCAAAAACTTCCTTCAATGTAAACAAATCACTCTTGAAGTTTAAAAACTGACAGCCGTCTTCAAGGCTCTCATAGCTACCATCAGTCTGTTGGTACAGTCTTTTAAATAGGTCAAAGCTAAATTCCTTTGTGGCTCTCCAGTGGCTCACGGCATTTTTGACGATTATAGGCTTTGAGGAATAAGTATAAGCCTGTAAAAACAATTACAGGATTAATAAAAAATAAATCTTGCCATTAAATTGAGTAAGCTCTGTTAAATTCTTACAGCAAAGCTACGCCTAGTAACATTCCGTAATACGACGGGTTTCGTAATATTTTCGCAATAGGCACAATCAGCGAGCGGACGAGACGCCTCCCACACCAAGTAATTGCTCGGCAGCAAACACCTTTCAGCCACGGAAAAATACAACCAGCTACTGCTTATCACTAAAAACACGCTTAAAGCTACTATCCCCACGATGATACTTCTATTTGTTCCCTTATTTACTGCAGTAAAAGTGTATAAATAAAATTGTTTCATTTCCGATGGATCCAATCCCTTTTTAAAAGCATTTTTCTGTATACTTCGTATCTTTCGGCGAATGAATCTTTGAGAAATGGGCAACCTAAGCATTTCTTCATACAATTAACGGACATAGTTAATTAAAATTAATCAGAATTCATTAATAAATAATTTAAATTAAAATTTACACACAAATTCACACAATCACATTTGTTTTTTTTTACTGTCAAAAAGCTGTCAAATTTTGACATAAACGTTCTGAAATAGGTATAAGACCGGTTCAACCTTAGAGAGTCTAAATGGGTTCAACCAATTTTTACAGGTTCTTCGATGGATTATTTCATTGAATCTTCCTATCGAACCACTTCTTCTTAATCATAATTTTCCTTTTAATTTACTCTTTTCTTTTTCTTCTTCCTTCTAAAAAAGACTGTATCTAAGCTAACTGCATTGTAGTTTTAATAGCTCATCGTTCTCAAGAGCTACAACATATCGGTAATCGCATCCCTATTCCCTATGGAAATTACCGAATGGATGAAAGTAAAAAAAATTGTCTATAGTTTTTGACCTGACGCTGTCATGTCAACGAACTGATGAACTTGGCGGTTTCAACAACAATTTCGTTAGAAAAGCCATAGAAATGCCTCCAAAGAAACGTGATAAAGATAGTGAAACAAACAAAAACTCCAAGATCGACCACTTACAAGCTGACCATGAGCTATTTTTACAAGCATTTGAAAGTAAGTGGTGGACCAGTAGTAATAACTTTGCATTTCTTGTGAATTATTTGTTCAATTGCCTAATTATGTATGTTTTTCAGAGCCTACACAAATATACAGATTCCTGCGAACTCGTAACATGTTGTCGGTACGTGATTTGGTAACGAATTATGCTAATAATAAATCACTACCAACACGTCCTTATCACGAGTTATTTTTTGTTTTCAGCCTATATTTCTCAATAGAACACTATCTTACATGAAACGTAGGATGTCTAGGAGCAATAGAAGCCGTGTGGGATTTAAAGTTGACTCATTATTGGACAAAATAACCTTAAAGAAGAGCACTGAACTCCAGCCAAACAGTTTAGGAGGTTACATGACACTGACGTTTCTAGGTTTCTATGACAAAAGCCTGGATGACCCTAGAGACTACCAGGTCAAAGTGGAGACCTTATTGTTGAAAATTTGTCATAAGAAAAGAAAAGAAAGTTCTTCTGCTATTGTTGAAGTCTCGGTGAGTATTTTTTATAATTGCCAGGCATTTTATACATGAGGCATATGATTTGCATAATTACTTGTCTTTACTATGCTTTAATGATAGTCAAAATTGGTTTCTTAAGTTAATTATGTGCTTGGAAGAGAAATTGTTTTATTCATAATTTTAGCATTTTAAGTTTTGTCACAATACTGTATACAAAGACATCGACACAGAATTTACTGTATATTTTGTCTTCTTTTAGGTTGGCAGTTGTTCTGTGCCGCTGAACCCCTCAACATCGGAGCCCCCAGCAATGGCGTCAGCGGTGAGCATCTCTAGCGACACCTTCAGCCCATCACAGGGCCCCAACGTGAAGTCTTACATGCTCATGCTGCGGGTCACCGTGACGAGGGCCTCTGGAGGCGCCACCGCTAACGGTGCATCTAGTTCTAGTGAAATTACCAATGGAGATTGTGATGGTAAGTTTATTTTGCCCTGTGTTAAGTTGCCAAGTAGTTTATGTTGATGTTACGATTTTTTTTTCATCTTTAAACCTAAGGGGTGTATTGAAATGACAAATTGAGCCCTTCTTGCTATAAAGTATGGTAAGGTAGGTACTATTTTGTGTTTAGTAGTGAACTCTTTTCTACAACCAATAGATTATTTAACTCGGCAGCAAAATCATGTAAATTTTTAAATATTAAAGCCATTGAACCTGTGAGTTGAATAAAATACTGATGTTTTTATCATAATTTTTGCTATAGAACCAGTCACAAAAAGGCTCAAAGCGTCCACTTCAACGGACCATCACAACTCCACTGACAGCAAATGGACCAAACTCTACGGCAGTGAGTTGATTGTGTACGACAAACACAACCGCTGTCTGCTCACTAACGGCGAGTACGACCTGGTTCTGCATGATGCGACCCCTGGCGGCAGGAGCGCGACTATCGCTAGATCACCGCATAAAGCGCTGATGGCTCAGTGGGAGACTATACCTAACGTAAGTTACGATGAAGTTTTATTGAGGAAAATTGTTTATTTACTGGCCAACTAATAAATCAATTTAATAACAGATGTTTATCCTTATTTATCATGCTTGCTATAAACAAAACAAATGTAACCTATGCTGTCAATAAATGGCTTGTTATCAATGAACTTGCATGATACAGACAGACTTGAGTTTTAAATAAATATTTGTTTCAATTTAGTTCTTATCATGGTCCATACCTATAGAATAGGCCAGCGGTTCCCGAATGGTGGTCCGCGGAACCCTGGGGTTCCGTGGAAAGGCCGCAAGGGTTCCGTAAAAAATATTATCCCACGTTTCGTGACCGACGTTGTTCGCTCGCACCGACTTGTTTACGCACAAGGGAGGGGCAGGGCGTGCGGGCGGAGTAGTACGGGGGTTCCGCTAGGAAAAGTATAATCAATTAGGGTTCCTTGGCAAAAAAAATTGGGAAACCCTGGAATAGGCTATAGAGCCCACCTAAAGCCTAAAAATTATTTTGTAATAAATTCTTCTTTCTACAGTGTTTTTCAAATAATATTATTTTCCAGGAAAATGACCTTCACACAGAAACAAATCCTTTTGACATATTCAAAGTGAGACCTCTCCTAAAACTAAAGCTTAGCTGGAGCCAGGAGCCAACTAACGGACTGGTGAACCGACCTAAGCTGTACCAACAGAACAGCGAAACTAACGGACACAAGAAAGAAGCTGGAAGTAGCAAAGACAGACATTCAATGCAGAAATGTAGCACCAACGATGTTAAAAATGGTTGGTATTGTATAAACATGTGAATTTCAATGACATTTCCTTGTTGCTGTATCATTTTGAATAATATGGCAGTTACTTTTTTATGTAATATGCAAAAGCTTGTGAAAATATGCACATATTTATGAGTTATGGGAATATTATTTCAATTTAACTCATACTCTTACATCTGTCTGTAATTTATAGCTAAAACTCTGGATATTTTATTGCTAAAGTGATAGTTTTCGAATGTAATTATTTTGCCTATTTGTGATTTGGATTTATTTTCTATTTTGTAATGTGTGAAAAAAATTTCTACTAAAAAATATTTTTGCTGTGCGACATGAGTTTATAAACACTTTCTGCAAAACAGTTGTTCATTTTTATCGACGAAACTGTCAAAATGACGTCCATAATTTGCGTCATCTTTGCAAAAAGAAATCTAAAAAAATTGCTAAATGTAAGAAAAGTTTATGCAATGAGGGTTTTCGCGATTGAAAAATCCGCCAGATGGCAATACGTAGACGGGAGGTCCAAATGCTGCATGATTGGTTATTTTTGACATGACATTGACAGATATGTCAAAATCCACCAATCATGCAGCATTTGGCCAAAAGTATGGATCTTGGCCCAATGTCTATGACAGAAAGGAGTTGTCCCAAAATGTATGGAGCCTAGGCCCACAACCTGTACACCTACCAAAAAGAAGGGCTTTTAAATGTACAACAGTTTCTTATTATTCAATTTCTTTTAAATAGCTTAGTTTATTCGCTTAAAACAAAAGATTGTTAAGAAAATAGCAATACTCAACCACAAAAACCATCATGGTGGACGAATGTCATTTTGATGACATCTGTCACTTTTGACATTAAGTCGTATCTTGGTGGAGAGTGACAGATGAAATCTGACAGCGACTGACGTTTAGTTAGTCTATGGTTCATCTTTTTTTTTATCTGACGCCATACGCCATCTTGTGTATGCATTTGAGAATGATAATTCATGAATAGTTTTTGATTTTGAGCGGCTAAATTATATGCTAGATATAGTTATTTATATTTTTCCCTTAATCAGTAGATTTTTCTTGATTTATGATATGGCGTACAACCTCCGGGCCGAAATTGGGACAACTCCTTTAAAGGAGTTGTCCCAAAATGTATGGAGCCTAGGCCCACAACCTGTACACCTACCAAAAAGAAGGGCTTTTAAATGTACAACAGTTTCTTATTATTCAATTTCTTTTAAATAGCTTAGTTTATTCGCTTAAAACAAAAGATTGTTAAGAAAATAGCAATACTCAACCACAAAAACCATCATGGTGGACGAATGTCATTTTGATGACATCTGTCACTTTTGACATTAAGTCGTATCTTGGTGGAGAGTGACAGATGAAATCTGACAGCGACTGACGTTTAGTTAGTCTATGGTTCATCTTTTTTTTTATCTGACGCCATACGCCATCTTGTGTATGCATTTGAGAATGATAATTCATGAATAGTTTTTGATTTTGAGCGGCTAAATTATATGCTAGATATAGTTATTTATATTTTTCCCTTAATCAGTAGATTTTTCTTGATTTATGATATGGCGTACAACCTCCGGGCCGAAATTGGGACAACTCCTTTCATAAATACTTTCCCCCTCAAGGTGAGAAGTCAAAGCCAGAGCCTGCAGACGGCGAGGCCAAGCGACAGCAGATCATCTACCAGTTCCTATACAACAACAACTCGCGGCAGCAGACGGAAGCTTGCGACGATCTACACTGCCCCTGGTGTTCATTAGACTGTGGCACCTTATACTCGCTGCTCAAACATCTCAAGCTGTGCCACTCGAGATTCAACTTTACGTACTTTGTAAGTAGGTCCAATGTCCAACGACACCAGTAAACAGAAGAGTATGACGGTCTACACTGCCCCTGGTGTTCTCTAGATTGTGGCACGCTATATTCGCTGCTCAAGCACCTCAAGCTGTGCCACTCGAGATTCAACTTTACGTACTTTGTGAGTAGATCCAATATCCAACAACAGCATTTAGAAGCGTGGGATGACCTACACTGCCCCTGGTGCTCTCTAGACTGTGGCACGCTATATTCGCTGCTCAAGCACCTCAAGCTGTGCCACTCGAGATTCAACTTTACGTACTTTGTGAGTAGATCCAATATCCAACAACAGCATTTAGAAGCGTGGGATGACCTACACTGCCCTTGATGCTCTCTAGACTGTGGCACACTTTACTCGCTGCTCAAGCACCTCAAGTTGTGCCACTCGAGATTCAACTTTACGTGCTTCGTGAGTAGATCCAATATCCAACAACAGCATTTAGAAGCGTGGGATTGACCTATACTGCCCTTGGTGTTCTCTAGACTGTGGCACCTGTGTTGGCACGCTCTACTCGCTGCTCAAGCACCTCAAGCTGTGCCACTCGAGATTCAACTTTACGTACTTCGTGAGTAGATCCAATATCCAACATCAACAGCAAACGGAGGCGTGAGACGTCCTAGTTTCTAGTCGTCCCTACGACAAGGAGAAATGGTTTGCTGGATGCAACGTCCTATTTTTCAAATCAAACACTGTCAATCTCACACTACCCCTTACGGATCAGAACATGCACCTTGCCAACAGTGTTCTCATCATTTTGGTACAGAAGTCAAAAACGTACTAAATCTATTCCCCAGCCAATCCCCGGCGGCGCGCGCATAGACGTATCAATCAACGAGCTCTACGACGGCTCCTACACCGGCTCGCCTCACGACCTGATCGCGGGGGCGGGCCGGGGCTCGCGGCNCATAGTTTTGAAGATATGGGCCTTAAAGTGAAGCGCGGCGGAAGGAAACTTGCCCCCCCTCCCCCTGCTACCACAGGGGGGGCTCCCGATGTCTACCGACGGAAATCCACTCAGGAGCACCCAAAGAACCACTGTTGCAAAAATGAGCCTTCTATACCAAAGTGGAGGGGTCTCCATACAAATCATTGCACTAAATTCCCTACTATAAGAGGTGTATTGAAACAATGACATTGAGCTCTTCTTGCTTTAATTGGCTTTCTGTTACTGGGTACTATTTTGTGTTGAGTAGTAAACTCTTTTCTACAACCAATAGATTATGTATTTAACTCTGCAGCAAAATCATGTAACTTTTTAAATATTAAAGCCATAGAACCTGTGAGTTGAATGAAATACTGATGTCTTTATCATACTTTTTGCTATAGAACCAGTCACAAAAAGGCTCAAAGCGTCCACTTCAACGGACCACCACAACTCCACTGACAGCAAATGGACCAAACTCTACGGCAGTGAGTTGATTGTGTACGACAAACACAACCGCTGTCTGCTCACTAACGGCGAGTACGACCTGGTTCTGCATGACGCGACCCCTGGCGGCAGGAGTGCGACTATCGCCAGATCACCGCATAAAGCGCTGATGGCTCAGTGGGAGACTATACCTAACGTAAGTTACGTTGAAGTTTTATTGAGGAAAATTGTTTATTTACTGGCCAACTAATAAATCAATTTAATAACAGATGTTTATCCTTATTTATCATGCTTGCTATAAACAAAACAAATGTAACCTATGCTGTCAATAAATGGCTTGTTATCAATGAACTTGCTTTTGATACAGACTTGAGTTTTAAATAAATATTTGTTTCAATTTAGTTCTTATCATGGTCCATACCTATAGCCTATAGCCCACCTAAAGCCCAAAGATCATTTCGTAATAAAATCTTTCTACAGTGTTTTACAAATAATATTGTTTTCCAGGAAAATGACCTTCACACAGAAACAAATCCTTTTGACATATTCAAAGTGAGACCTCTCCTCAAACTAAAGCTTAGCTGGAGCCAGGAGCCGACTAACGGACTGGTGAACCGACCTAAGCTGTACCAACAGAACAGCGAAACTAACGGACACAAGAAAGAAGCTGGAAGTAGCAAAGACAGACATTCAATGCAGAAATGTAGCACCAACGATGTTAAAAATGGTAGGTATTGTATAAACATGTGAATGTAAATGACACTTCCTTGCTGTATCATTTTGAATAATATGGCAGTTACTTTTTTATGTAATATGCAAAAGCTTGCAAAAATATGCACATTTTTATGAGTTATGGGAATATTATTTCAATTTAACTCATACTCTTACACCTGTCTGTAATTTATAGTTAAAACTCTGGATATTTTATTGCTAAAGTGATAGTTTTTGAATGTAATTATTTTGCCTATTTGTGATTTGGATTTATTTTGTATTTTGTAATGTGTAAAAAAAATTCTACTTTATTATAAAATATTTTTGCTGTGCGACATGAGTTTATCATGGACCTATAAAAAGTTTATAAACACTTTTTGCAAAGCAGTTGCTCATTTTTATCGACGAAACTGTCAAACTGTCGTCAATTTGCGTCATCTTTGCAAAAAGAAATCCAAAAAATTGCGTAAGAAAAGTTTTTGTAATGAATAAAACTTTGCCATAAAAAAAATAAAACCGACTCCAAAAAACTAACACTAAAAAGTAGAAAAATAATTTTTTTTCGCGCGGCCATCGACCAAATTTTGTTTTTTGATTACAAAATAGTGTAATAAACCAAACTTATTATGACATGTATACCTCTAAACTCAGTCTGAACTCAGTTACGAGCATTAGAAGTTTGATGATTTTCATACTAGATTTGCTTTTTGCGCGAAGTTTTGTAAGAAATTGCAACAAAATAGTGAGATTGTATGTGTAAACAAACAATACCATCCATTAAAGGCTCCAGACATCAGTATGGAGCAGAATCAGCGCAATAAAAAATAGTGGAATATTTTGTTGCAATTTCTTACAAAACTTGCGCACAAAAATCAAATCTTGTATGAACATCATCAAACTTCTAATGCTCGTAACTCAGTTGAGTTTAGAGGTATACATGCCATAGTAAGTTTGGTTTATTACACTATTTTGTAATCAAAAAACAAAGTTTGGTCGATGGCCGCGCGAAAAAAAAAAGACGCCACTTTCCATACAAAATCTGGCATTGCCATTTCATAAATACTTTCCTCTTCAAGGTGAGAAGTCAAAACCAGAGCCTGCAGATGGTGAAGCCAAACGTCAGCAGATCATCTACCAGTTCCTATACAACAACAACTCGCGGCAACAGACGGAAGCTTGCGACGACCTACACTGCCCTTGGTGTTCTCTAGACTGTGGCACGCTATATTCGCTGCTCAAGCACCTCAAGCTGTGCCACTCGAGATTCAACTTTACGTACTTTGTGAGTAGGTCCAATATCCAACAACAAAAGCAGACGAAGGTATTATGATGATCTACACTGCCCTTGGTGTTCTCTAGACTGTGGCACGCTATACACGCTGCTCAAGCACCTCAAGCTGTGCCACTCGAGATTCAACTTTACGTACTTCGTAAGTAGATCCAATATCCAACAACAACAGTAACAGAAGCTTGCGACGATCTACACTGCCCCTGGTGTTCATTAGACTGTGGCACCTTATACTCGCTGCTCAAACATCTCAAGCTGTGCCACTCGAGATTCAACTTTACGTACTTTGTGAGTAGATCCAATATCCAATGGCAACAGTAAACAAGCGTGCGACGACCTACACTGCCCTTGGTGTTCCTTCGACTGCGGAACGCTGTATTCGCTACTCAAGCACCTGAAGCTGTGTAACTCCAGATTCAACTTTACGTACTTCGTGAGTAGGTCCAATATCCAACGACACTAGCGGTAGATGGAGACGTGCGACGATGTACTCTACACTGCCCTTGGTGTGCTCTAGACTGTGGTAGTGGACCGGCAGACAGTGGTGACTGAGTTTGTTGCGGCGCTTCTTCTCAGCACTTGCCAAATGTTGGTCTCGAAGCGCTGGTAGGGTAAAAAGATTATGAGACATGTAGAGGCTCCTTAAGAGCAAAATGACGATTTGTAAGAACTATTTATTAGTCCAAACAAATAAAGAAATTTTGACTTTGACTTTGGTACGCTGTATTCACTACTCAAGCACCTCAAGCTGTGCCACTCAAAATTCAACTTTACGTACTTTGTGAGTAGATCCAATATCCAATGGCAACAGTAAACAGAAGCGTGCGACGATCTACACTGCCCCTAGTGTTCCCTAGACTGTAGCACAGCTTGAGGTGCTTGAGCAGCGAGTATAGCGTGCCACAGTCTAGAGAACACCAGGGGAAATGTAGATTGTCGTAATACCTTACTACCTTAGTCTGCTTTTGTTGTTGGATATTGGATCTACTCACGAAGTACGTAAAATTTCTCAAGCTCTGCCACTCGAGATTCAACTTTACGTACTTCGTGAGTAGATCCAATATCCAACGACACCTAGCGGTAGATGGAGGCGTGCGACGATCTATACTGCCCTTGGTGTTCCCTCGACTGCGGAACGCTGTATTCGCTACTTAGGCACCTCAAGCTGTGTCACTCGAGATCCAACTTTACTTACTTCGTGAGTAATTCGTAGATTTAGATTCAGGCAGGTAGTTAGTATCCTATGCGCCGCTAAAACACGCGCGGGCCTGTATCGAAAATTAGTAAAAATCGGCAGCGCACACGGGTGCCCGTTGCAGGCGTCTGCACCGGGATTGCATTTCCATACACTAACTCCATTGGCCTTAAGACGTTACTTTGACTAGCTTAGGAAGTTTCTAGTCATCTATATGATAAGGAGGAATTTTGCTGTGTCTGCACTTTTTACTCCATTACAAAATTCAATATCTTTGTGTTCAATCATACACTAGCACCACCACCCATTTTACGGTCATTACATACAGGTTGCTAAAGACAGACAGCGTTTTTATCATTAGGGTATGGACGCCTAAAAACACTTAATAAATAAAAATCTCTTCCCCAGCCAATCCCCGGCGGCGCGCGCATAGACGTATCAATCAACGAGCTCTACGACGGCTCCTACACCGGCTCGCCTCACGACCTGATCGCGGGGGCGGGCCGGGGCTCACGGCCCGCGCCGGGGGCCGGGGGGCCAGCGGGCCCGGGGGCCGGGGGGCCACGCGCGGGGCCCACGCGCCGCACGTCACTAACGCACGTGCTAGTGTGCCGGCCCCGACCGCGCCGCCGGCCGCATAGACACAGCCTGGCGGAGTTCTTGGAGCTGGACGATAGTGAGGTGGTGGAGGCGCAACGGCCGTATCTGACGGGACATAACAGGTGCGTATTTTTTTTTGTTTATAGTTTTACTGCCAGTATTTTAAGTTTCTGGGCAAAAGGCAAGGCACAGAGACCATAAAGTTTGGAATACAAGATGACAGCATTTTGTATGCTTTGCTATTTTGCAACTAATGTCTTTTTTCTGGACATTACACTCCTAATTTGCTGAACATGGTATGCTTGGTGCCTCTAGTTTAGACAACGTAAAAATTACTATTATTTGTGATACAAAAAATGTCAACCCTTAGTCAAAGACAGATTCAGATTACTATGTTTGTTTCGCTGCGTCATTTTATGTTACGTTAAGCGATCAGGAAATTGATGTATATCTTAAATTGCTTCTTTGTCTCTAAAGGAATCCAGCATCACCTAGCAAAATATCAACAATCTCCAGTAACTCATATTTTATTCCATTCGCAGACTGTACCATCACACAATCACCTGCCTCCCAGTATACCCCAACGAACTGGACATAGACTCTGAAAGCGAGACCGACCCGCTATGGCTGCAGCAGAAGACCATGATGATGATCGACGAATTCACCGACGTCAACGAAGGAGAGAAAGAACTCATGAAGATGTGGAACCTACACGTCATGAAATACAATTACGTAGGCGACTGCCAGATACCGTTAGCCTGCCAAATGTTCCTCCAAATGAAAGGGAAGGAACTACTAGAGAAGAATCTGTATAGAAACTTCGTGCTACACATGTGTTCCTTGCACGACTTCGGGTTACTAAGCCCCGTAGCGCTGTACCAAACGGTGCAAATGCTGAACCAAATGCTGGCGGATAATGCAGAAGCCAAAGAGAAGATGAGAGACTCGCTCAAAGCGCAGCGTGAGCATTGGAACGCAGTCGGTAAGTACCAACAGCCCGCCATTATAGAGCAGAAGCCGCAAGCTACCACAGCTAAGCTTAACAACGTTGAGGCGTCNGGGCCGGGGGCCCCGCGGGCCCGGGGGCCGGGGGGCCACGCGCGGGGCCCACGCGCCGCACATCACTAACGCACGTGCTAGTGTGCCGGCCCCGACCGCGCCGTCGGCCGCATAGACACAGCCTGGCCGAGTTCTTGGAGCTGGACGATAGTGAGGTGGTGGAGGCGCAACGGCCGTATCTGACGGGACATAACAGGTTCGGATTTGTTTTTTTGTTGTATGTTTGTACTGCCAGTATTTGAAGTTTCTGGACAAAAGCCAAGTGAATTACAAGGCCTCGAGACCATAAAGTTTGGAATACAAGATGGCAGCTTTTTATGCTTTGCTATTTTGCAACTAGTGTCTTTTCTGGACATGGCTTAGTGCCTCTAGGTTAGACAACGCAAAAATTACTACTATTTGTGACAAAAAATGTCAACCCCTTAGAGCGGCAATACACGGACCGCTTGAAGCAGTCAGGGTCGACAGCTTCAAGCTGTCGACTCCACAGTGAACTGCAGAGTTCTACACGAACCGCTCGAGCAGTTGCAACTGATTCGGGCGGTCGACCCTGACTGCTTCAAGCGGTCCGTGTATTACCGGCCCTAGTCAAAGACAGATTCAGATTACTATGTTTGCTTCGCTGCGTCTTTTTATGTTACGTGAAGCGACCAGAAAATTGATGTATTATAAGTTACATTTCCGATAGTTTCAAATTACTATGTTTGCTTCGCTGTGTCTTGTTTTGTTACGTGAAGCATCACGAGACTGTTGTGTCATAAATGCTACTTTGTCTAAATGAAGTCTACTATTCTCTTCTATTCACAGACTGTACCATCACACAATCACCTGCCTCCCAGTCTACCCCAATGAACTGGACATAGACTCGGAGAGCGAGACCGACCCGCTTTGGCTACAGCAGAAGACCATGATGATGATCGACGAGTTCACCGACGTCAACGAAGGAGAGAAAGAACTGATGAAGATGTGGAACCTCCACGTCATGAAATACAATTACGTAGGCGACTGCCAGATACCGTTAGCCTGCCAAATGTTCCTCCAAATGAAAGGGAAGGAACTACTAGAGAAGAATCTGTACAGAAACTTCGTGCTCCACATGTGTTCCTTGCACGACTTCGGGTTACTAAGCCCAGTAGCGCTGTACCAAACGGTGCAAATGCTGAACCAAATGTTGGCGGATAATGCAGAAGCCAAAGAGAAGATGAGAGACTCGCTTAAAGCGCAGCGTGAGCATTGGAACGCGGTGGGTAAGTACCAACAGCCCGCCATTATAGAGCAGAAGCCGCAAGCCACCACGGCCAAGCTTAATAACGTAGAGGCGTCACCATCGGTCCGACGGAAAACCTCTAACCTACAAAACGCTAACAGAATGGCCAGCGCTGCCAATAACTTCAATAAGTCAGCCAGTCCTGGACCGAGTCACGTAGACACCAAACGTAAAATGTCCTCCGGCAGCATCCAAAGTCGCAAACGCTCCTCCATATCGGAACGAAAGAGCTCCGTATAGCATCTGTTTTGTGTCAAACGCCACAGACTGACCTCGACCGAGGCTCCCAAGTACAACAAAAAAGTATTTTAATTGATTTTTAGAAATTCCCGATGTCACTTTGCCACCAATTGCCACGACGCGAACTTTATTGACCACATCGTTTTTAATTACCTTATTTTAATCTGTTTAAGTTATTTGTTGGCAAAATGTAGAAAGTTATTGTAGTGCTATGTGCTAGATGTCTTTCAATGTCCTATTAGAACAAAATTTGTTGATTTAAATGATTATTAATTGTCGTGTTTGTTAAGATTTGGTATCATATCAATTGACTACTTTTAATTAAATGAATTTCGTAGCGAATTGTCGCAAATACAATTGTATCCAAAACGCTAAAATTTTAATTTTAAGTAAACAAAGTCCATGTAATGGATACCAGTAGGTAAGTTGATAAATTATGGCTTATATTAACATAAAATAGTTTTTCCTGATCTTAGATCTCTTGGTTCACTTGCACGAGTTTCTTTAATCTATAGTTACGTAAACTCTGGGGTAGATATATCCTTCTATAGCTGTCAGTTAGTTTTATGTTGATAGAAACAGAATGATGTTATATTCCAGGGGTAGATGTCTCGCAATCCTGCAAACATACAAAATGTANAATATGTATTTGATTTATCCATTTGGAGATCACTGATAAACAGTACAATCTTTTTTGAAAACTATAAACAAAACACTCAGATCTTATCTTTGCAGACCATAGATTAGAGACCATAGAGCAAGTGACCCTTATGTGAACGTTGTGTTTGATTCAGCATGTTAGCAAAATGTGAAATTTGTCATTCGTAACTGTGATTATCTAAATCAATCATTAGGAATTAATTTGTGTGTAAATATACAAATATGATCTTTATTGCGATGGCGTAAGACCTTTGATTTAACCGTAGTCGATTAATTAATGTTAAATGACGGAATCACTGCCAGGAGTGCGACCTCAGTTAGTGGGTCACGAATTAATACTATTATAGAACAATAATTATACTATATCGCATGTAGTTGTTGTATAGATGACAGCACAGCAGACTTGCCAGGGATGCGCAGCGTGATAAAATCTTATCGATGATTTTAGACGACAAATGTATGGGCTTATCGCGTAAAATCGATAAATAGACGTGATACAAAATTAACGCGGCGCGCACCTAGACCTAAAGATACATTTTTTGTTGCAAAATAGCCTGTATCAACGAGATAAGATGTCACGTTTAGCTTGATGTACTGTCGTCTATACCACTAGTGGTGACCCGATTCATTAACTGCCTTTGTTAGTTATAAATGTTGTGTGCATGTAAGATTTGCTATGGATGTTGTAGGATTTTGAAAGCTGGGTAATTATTTTAGAAATTTTATGTAATTTAAACTTATTTACTACCATTTCTTATATCGTGTATCTGACAATGTATATTCAACGCACCTTTGGTGGAATTTAATTTTACAACCGATTGGCCTAGTCACATGATTCAGGTTGATTAAAAAAATATAAAAAAATATTATAGGTCATATTAAAATATTCCTTGAGTAATACGAAAAAACTTAAGAGTATTTTATAAATTATCAAAGAAATGGGATAAGTCAGTTTAAAAAAAAATAGAAAAAACTAAATAAATACCTGGCTGACAGCTCTTTCAGAATGTTATGACTGTAAGGATTTTATGCACCTTAATATTATATGAAATAAACTCAATGAAGCTATTGTATGGGCTAGTAGAAGTACGTCGACAGATCTATCTGAGAGTGCAGTACTATTAAACTTTTCAGGTAGCTATAAATATTCGATATCTCTTATTGCGCTGGCATAAGATCCATTTTTGATGCACTAGAGTTATTTTTATAGTAAAATTCTGATTAATCATAGATACAACTAACATAAATCAATAAAGTAATTTAACTGTTCGATATTAGATGATATTTCCATAAGATATTACATAAATAAACAGTTCGCTATAGACTGATGATAGTCATTTGTTGCCTTAGCAGCCATTTTGCAATTACAATTCGTTTATTAAAATAATCAAATGGAAAAAAAGACTGCAGGGTGTCTTAATGCCTTATAGAAATCCATTGAACGCTGTAAATGGCCCCATATATTGTAATAAATAAATATTAACCCACGAATATATTATTACAATATCCACGAAGCACCACGTGAATCACAAATGTATCTGATCCGTTGTAGGTGTAGATTTATAGCATAATAATATTTTTTATTGTGTTGTATTTATGTATATTGGTTATACATTTTGTATGGCTCAATGTTATAGTTTATAATCGACATAACACAAAGTAATATAATGGTGAGCAATAGTAGTAGGACTTAGATTAATAAAACCTAGATAGATAGTCAGTGCACGAAAGGTGAGGCAGTTTTTAGGGAGCCGGCACGGCTCACCCGTAAACGTCACATGAACTGTCAAAGTGAAAAATTGGTAAACACGTCCGACGAATTTTAATTAATTAAAACGGTTTGTACTGTGAAAGGGTGTCTAAAATACATCAGAAAAACGAAAGAAAGTGACCAGTGTTACATTTCATAAGTAAGTACTACAATTCGACGCGTATTTTGCTTGAATTTGGCTTTCAAAAATTAAATACGGGAATGATACCAGTAACAAGAAAATTTATTTCCCAATTGTTCGCCGTACAAATACACTTCCTTTTTTATGAAATCGAGACTTTTAAGTCGATTTATCTTATTGTTATTAGGTAGGTACTTTGAATTTCAATAAATAAGTAAATACATGATGCGTTTTGTTTTTGTTATATTATAAAATAATTAAAAACGTATTAAAATTTTCCCTACTTTCGGGAAAATCGCCTTCACTGTCTACACTCCCCAACAAAATTGACACTAATGACATAAGATTTTTGCCTCACTCTTGACGAAGCGTTTGTATGAAGACTATCCATCTAGGTTTTATTAATCTAAGTAGTAGGATAGTTGGTTAATTTTGAAACTCGCCCATCCGTTTAGGGTAATTCGATAATCTGGAAGCTTGATGCGACACGTTGCTTTTTTGCAATCCCATGATGACGTTGGTACAAATTATGCTAACGTCCTATTTTTTTATACATTAACTTTTTTCTGGCTTACAGACGTTTAGTGTAATTAAATAATAGCAATACATCTGACTTAGTACATTAAGTTCTGCTGTGGTGAGATATGTGATGTTAACTCACGTTACGCTACCACTCTGGTGGCCATAATAAAGCCACTAGTGACTATCACGATTTGTGGACTATATTTTTCACATTTATTCCGCGGCATCAACATTTTAGCGTTTAAATAGCCAGTGATGGCCACTAATGTTTTTACTATGGCTTTCTCTAGTGGCTCTTTGTCCGACAGCGCTTTTTAAGTGCCCTATTTTGTAGTAAAAATTGTACACCAATTTACACGCCCTACGTCTGATCAAAACAATAATTAGCTATGCCCCTTTACATTTTAGTTGTAGTAAATTTTTCACTTTACTAGCTTCTTTCCCAATGTGATACAGCCCTTGACTGTTACTTATACTTATTATAACACTACGTACATAGTTTAATCGACTCAATGTTTTACATACATTTAGGTACTGGTTATACACTTATGTTAAAAGCTGTATTTGATGTATTTCCATTTTTGCGTGTTAATTTGATTGTAACGACAATATTTGTTATTTTTGTATTGTTCCATTTTGAGTAATGTAATGTTCAGCGAATTACTGTACTTATGTATGATGAAATGAAATATAACTATTATTTTCGATATTTGTATTTTAATTCTCTTCTACGATATTTACAATAAAATTAGAGAACCTTGAAAATAACAATAATTTTTTATCTCTTATCATAATGCAAATAGAAGAGTGAGAGTTAAAATCTTTTTTCAATTTTCAAGTAGATGTAAAAAGTAGTTTTAAACACGATGAAACCTTTTTGACACAAATCAAAATTAGAATCTTCAAAGACGCCAGGTAAAGAGAAAAAATGGAAAGCCATTTGACAAAGTTCACAAACTGAAATTTGTTGTTAAAATATGTCATACTCGAAGAATAACCACAAATCATCCGATAGAACTAGAACAGATACGCAGGCCACCGAAAGAAATGAGGACGAAGGTATAGAAACTGTTGTGGCGATGGACGTTACTTACATTATGAAGTAATGACAATGTGTTTTTGTCTTCAGGGGAAGTTATAACTTGTAATCCAACAGAAAGCTGCACTTATGCCGGTGAGTGCTTTAAAACAGTATTTATACTTAGATAAAAATAATAACCATATCGTTAATATGTTGATTACAGTGACAGTATCAAAGAAACCATCGTCTTCTGGCGAAGTAGCCAACTGTTGGACCTCGTTGTGTTCCGGGCAAAAGTCATTCATCAGTATACATTCAACCGATCAGCTGTGTCAAGTGGCAGATGTAGAAAACCCTTCGAACCTTGAGGACTGTAATGTTGAAGTCCTTAGCCTCAACGAGGTCTTCCCATCGACTTCAGAGGAGAGTTTGTCTAACGAGGACGATTCCCCGGTGCAAAGGAAGCAAAAAAACAAAAACAGAATTCAAAAGAGTCAGTCGGAAAATGCCGCGAAATCTGGCTACGTACCCACGAATAGCAAGTCGTCGACAATGTCTGGAAGGCAGAAAGACGCAGTGGATGGACAGCCCTCTGTATACTCTGACTACGATATCCCGAAAAATACTATGTACGTCGTCGGAAGTAACCCGGGCGAGCCGAAGATGTCGTATCAAGATCCGCCGAAAAAAATATCTAAAACGGTAAGTGATGCAAAATATTTGAAGCTATTCTTAAATGAAGATTCCTACTGCACTTGCTATTTTATAACACGGACCTAAGCTCACATAAATGTACAAATATTTGTATGGTGTTGAACCCGCGATCTCTGGCACCGACCACCGTGTACCGACGCGAACCACTACGCCTAGCCAGGTGGTCATTAAATTCCTCGGCTCAAAACACTGTGTCCTTTCACATATTCAAATCCGATTGCAGATGAAGAAGTTCCTACGCAACATCGACAAGCACAAGAATGAGCAGAATAGCAAGAGCAGCGAGAAAGCGATCAGCAAACTGACCACCATGCGTGGCATCCTCAAAGATGGCCGCTGCGTGCCCGAGTGCACCGGCGACTCCGTACAGGGCGCAGAGGAATATGCCGCGGGTGTGTTACGTATGTATTCTTCAGTCCTAATCACAATAGCAAGTAGCGAGGTGGTTACCAAACTGACCACCATGCGTGGCATCCTGAAAGACGGCCGCTGCGTCCCCGAGTGTACTGGCGACTCCGTGCAAGGCGCGGTGGAATACGCCGCGGGTGTGCTACGTATGTATTCCTCAGTCCTAATCACAATAGCAAGCAGCGAGGTGGTTACTAAACTGACCACCATGCGCGGCATCCTGAAAGACGGCCGCTGCGTCCCCGAGTGTACTGGCGACTCCGTGCAAGGCGCGGAGGAATACGCCGCGGGTGTGCTACGTATGTGTTCCTCAGTTCTCATCGCAACAGCGAACAGCGAGGTGGTTACCAAACTGACCACCATGCGCGGCATCCTCAAAGACGGCCGCTGCGTCCCCGAGTGCACCGGCGACTCGGTGCAAGGCGCGGAGGAATACGCCGCGGGTGTGCTACGTAAGTAATCCTCAGTCCTAATCACAATAGCAAGTAGCGAGGTGGTTACCAAACTGACCACCATGCGTGGCATCCTCAAGGATGTCCGCTGCGTGCCCGAGTGTACCGGCGACTCCGTACTGGGCGCAGAGGAATATGCCGCGGGTGTGCTACGTATGTATTCCTCAGTCCTTACCACAATAGCAAGTAGCGAGGTGGTTACCAAACTGACTACCATGCGTGGCATCCTGAAAGACGGTCGCTGCGTGCCCGAGTGTACCGGCGACTCCGTGCAAGGCGCGGAGGAATACGCCGCGGGTGTGCTACGTATGTATTCCTCAGTCCTAATCACAGCATTAAGCAACGAGGTGGTTAGCAAACTGACCACCACGCGCGGCATCCTGAAAGACGGCCGCTGCGTCCCCGAGTGTACTGGCGACTCCGTGCAGGGCGCGGAGGAGTACGCCGCGGGTGTGTTACGTATGTATTGAATACATTGTATTCTTCAGTCCTTACCAGAATAGCAAGTAGCGAGGTGGTTACGAAACTGACCACCATGCGCAGCATCCTCAAGGATGTCCGCTGCGTGCCCGAGTGTACCGGCGACTCCGTGCAGGGCGCGGAGGAATACGCCGCGGGAGTGTTAAGTATGTATTCCTCAGTCCTAATCACACTAGCAAGCAGCGAGGTGGTTACCAAATTGACCACCATGCGCGGCATCCTGAAAGACGGCCGCTGCGTCCCCGAGTGTACTGGCGACTCCGTACAGGGCGCAGAGGAATATGCCGCGGGTGTGCTACGTATGTATTCCTCAGTCCTAATCACAATAGCAAGTAGCGAGGTGGTTACCAAATTGACCACCATGCGCGGCATCCTGAAAGACGGCCGCTGCGTGCCCGAGTGCACCGGCGACTCCGTGCAAGGCGCGGAGGAATACGCCGCGGGTGTGTTACGTATGTATTGAATAGTATTCTTCAGTCCTTACCAGAATAGCAAGTAGCGAGGTGGTTACGAAACTGACCTATTGAATACATGGTATTCTTCAGTCCTTACCAGAATAGCAAGTAGCGAGGTGGTTACGAAACTGACCTATTGAATACATTGTATTCTTCAGTCCTTACCAGAATAGCAAGTAGCGTGGTGGTTACGAAACTGACCACCATGCGCAGCATCCTCAAGGATGGCCGCTGCGTGCCCGAGTGTACCGGCGACTCCGTACAGGGCGCAGAGGAATATGCCGCGGGTGTGCTACGTATGTACCTATTGAATACATTGTATTCTTCAGTCCTTACCAGAATAGCAAGTAGCGAGGTGGTTACCAAACTGACCACCATGCACGGCATCCTCAAAGACGGCGACTCCGTGCAGGGCGCGGAGGAATACGCCGCGGGTGTGTTACGCATGTATTTATTTATTTATTTTTATTTATTTATACTTTTGCACAAAAAACTGTACAGTGGCGGACTTAATGCCAGGTGGCATTCTCTGCCAGTCAACCACAGGTCGAAGTATTCCTAAGTCCTCCCTCGTCACAACAGCAAGCAACGAGGTGGTCACCAAACTGACCACCATGCGCGGCATCCTCAAGGACGACGAGTATGTAGATAGAGTTCCTACATTAGTTTTTATTCCTTATCTCGGCGTTAGCTCTGGAACGTTCTAACTTGTGGTTTTCCTGCCTGAGCTGATGGTCCCTGGGTTTGGCGTTGGCCACTTCTTCACACTCTTTTCTCACACTTCTTTTCTCAAAAAGTATCCTTTGTTCTTATCGAACCATTATTAGTAGGTGACATACTGGAAAGAAGATGAATAATTTCCTTTCACTTTTTTTGGATTTGTGCGATAGAACATGATCCTCTTTTATAAGCGTCCGATCGGGTGTACCGAACGGACTGATCGATACGGTTTACGTGCCCTCCGAAACACAGAAACATATTTCTTTCTAATACAGTACCACCCAAAACCTCGTGAATGAAAAGACTCCAATAGATAGAAACCCACATTCATTTCCAGTTCCTGATCCCAGCCTTTATCGCTATTTACAGCCGAAGACCTTTCGCTGCCGTTCTCGATGGATTTCAGTCCTCAAACGAACTACTCGAAGCAGAATCCTGACAAAAACGTGACGTTCAACACCCAAGTGGTCATAATTCACTTCAGCGGCGACCTATGCGTAGGCCAGAGCGTCGAGACACTCAGCAAGGAGAAAGACCAGCAAGCGAGGAACTCCGAGCTAAGGAAAACATTCCTCACCAAATACAACGAGTTTTGGCCCACACAGAAATAGCTTTAATTGATAAGTCTAGATATAATTCCATTTTGTCTTTAGTGATAACGGTGAGCAAGTAAGTCAAGCTACGAAAATTAAGTTATTGGTATGTTTTATCTACATATACTTACCTCTTGTACCATGTTAAATTATGGAAGTCTGTGTCTCGTTTTATTTATTTTAATCTAACAAATTGATCGGGTAAATTGTATCTATAGTGTAAATCAAGTAACTCAAATTGGAATATAGATTCATATTTATAACTGGTGTTTTATTTAAACTAATTATTTAGTTCGAAAATAATTTATTATTATTAATATCACAGGATTGTCTTATATGGGTTTGGATGTTATTTTCCATAGAACTAGTTCTTTCACGCGGTCGTACGTGAAGTATTTGGGGAAATCGATGGGTAGCTGTTGTACAGTCCATTCGGAATGCGGATTGTCTGTCTTTATTTTGTCTAGGAGAGTGAGGAATGTTTCGTAGCAGGGCGCCACCGAGTCCATGTGTTCTATCGTGAAGACGTATCTCTTTTCTAGAACGACGTATAGCGTTTTCGGTGGGGTCGTGTTGAGAACCTTCTGTATCGTCGATACGAATGCAGCGGTGACGTCGTCGTCGTATATTACTGTAAAGAATGTTAAACATGTAATGATATACCTACGTTAAATTACATTATTACCTTTTTTTTAACTGGTATTTTGCTAAATTGGATGTTGTTATTGTTAAATTACTTTTATTGAGTTTTGAAAGAGTGGAATAGTTTTTCGCAATTTTCTAATTACATATTACCTATTCGACTTTATTTATAAAAACGAAGCAAATATTGTTTTCAAGACTTAATTTTTTTTTTAATCCACAAAGAGGAAGTTCTTGGCCTGCATCTCATCTGATGAAAAGTGATGATCAGGTCGAAGATGGAAGCGAACTTCACCCGCAGTTCTCAACTACAGAGGAACTGGCTATCTAACTGATTCTACCTCCAACTGTTAAGGCGACATAAGGAGCCCACTGGCAATCGAACCCGGGACCTCTGGGTCTGAAGTGGTCTAGCCACTAAACCACAGAGACGGTTAAGTAACAAGTTATGAATAAATTTAACTTTTGAACTTACCATCTGCAGCTATGATTATGTCGGTTTGTTTAATCTCGTTGGTCAACTCTGGAGTCCAGCTCGCCATGAAGTCCAGAGGCAATACTTTGAAATCGGACTTGATTAACTTCGCATTGTATTTAGCATTCAGCTTTATAAGCTCCAGTATACCTCCGACATCGATGTCTGGAAATAATGAAACTGTTTTGTTAGTGTTTGCAGAGAGCACACTACATGCATAGCGCGCAGGTTCCTCCGACAGGATTTTTTTTGGTTTCGAAAAAAAAAAACGTCAGTGAAACTTAACAAATGATGTGTTACGTCACAAGCCACGCCTCCCTCATCGCTGACGTGCCTAAGCCGTGTCTCCAGCGCGTGTTTTGCCTTGCACAATAAACAAAAACATGTCAACGAATAAATACTTTTCTTTCTTCTTCTTCTTCTTCTTCAACATTCAACAATTTTTGTAGGCAATTTTGTTGATGTTGAAATGTTTTTGTTGAATATGTAGGACAAAATACGTACTGGAGACCCGGCTTTAGCTGTGCGCTATGCCTGTACTTACAAACATTATGCGTTACTTACAAAATATCTTATCTTATCAATTGCGAAATAAACCACATCATTGAATAAATTGCATTTCCTTGTAAAAAGTTAATATTCACCAAACATTACAATATTGTAAAAAAATCTTCACAGTAAGAGGGATAGCCACTCACAGCATGTACAATATTCTACCATTAACTTAACGCACCCCTGCTATTTTATGAATAAAAGAAGACACGAGGTTTTACCCATAAAGTTAATATTCCTCATGGTTTTATTTACCCTATGTCGAAGTGTTTTGAGGCTACATGGGCGCCTTTAAATTTTATAAGCGCTGCAATGGCGCCACTGAATTTCGCTTTATAACTACAATTTTTATAAACGCAGTTGCTACGCCACTATACGTCGCATTTGTCACGATAGTACGAAAACTAGTAAAGAGGCACCAGCCACTGCAGCGCTTCTTCAAGCCTCTATTTTAGAGGCGTCCTTGACTTTCGGTAGGGATAGATGCACCAGACCTAGACGAAACAAGGTTTCGCTCCAGCGCGGCGTTTTATTTTTTACGTCGTTACTTCGCTCCGTAAAACGATTTCGAAATTCAATCTGTCACGAACATTACTTTGTCTAGGGGTACCTACCAAGAAAAGCGAAAACCAAATACACAAGTAGTTATAAAAAGGTATAGTTACCTGTGCATATAACTTTTTTCGCGTACAATGAAGCAACCAAACTGGTCAGTCCAGTGCCTGCTCCTAGTTCCAGCACAGTCTTGCCTGCCAGTCTACCATTGAGGCCCAAGTGGATCAACAAGTCACCAAGAAGGAATGCGCCCCTCCACACTTGCAGGCCTACTAACGCTATTTTTGTTTTGGAACTGTGTTCTGAAATAAAACAGAATACATAGTATTGGGACTGAGCAATGCGTTTTTAGGTTCTATGGGTGCTAAAATATTAATATCTGCTAGGAAACTTAATGCATAGTAAATGTACCTACTATATCCATAATTCTCTGCTTGGGTGACTGGTAGAGAATGCCATATGGCAGCAAGTTCGGCTTTTGCACTCTGATATTGTGTGCAATATAGTTTAAAAAAAACAAATAAAATTTTATTTCCTTCAATAGAATGAGACCATACCAACTGGTTGGCTTCAGGAAAAAGACAGTTACTAAGTACATCTTTTTCAGTCTGTTCAAGAAGATTACAATTTTCAGATCTCTTAAAATAAATGTTTAATCATTCTTACCAATTTTGATAACTTCTTTCCCTGGTCTTTCCATATCTAAATCATCATCATCGTCAAATGTAGGTTTACTTCTTTCTTTAGGCAGGAGAAAAGGGAATTCTGATATCACATCTGTAAGGAATATGAATAAAATATTATGTATTAGTAATTTTATCAGATTAATGATAAATTTATAGATTTAAAAAAAAAATCCCTTTAAATTCCTACATCAGTATGAACAGTTTTATGTTAATTTACACTATGAATAGCTGATTCCAAAAAACTGTAGAACTAGACATTTTTTACTTACTTCCTTCAGTGCTAGGAGTTATTTTTGTTCTATAATCATATTCTCCATAAATTTCTGAAGTCACTGTTAGCTCAGGCATCTGAAACCAAGTATGTAGGTATAAAATTAGAAAATTATAGGCAACAGAACTGTAACAAATCATCGCTTACTTGTATTATTTTCAAAATACTGGTAATTGTGACTGAGTATTTTACCAAAACATTAAATAGTTAACACTTAGGGCTGCTACAATAAAGAATAAATGTAACTATTGAAATTTCTTCACTCTCGCATATATGCGATTATTAGTAACTAGTTTCAATAATTTCATGGTCAAATAGTTGTACGATTACAGGGCTTGGCAACATAATGAAGGGCATTTAGTTAAATGAAGTGGTTCGAAAATTTAAACTTACTGTGTAGTTTTTGCTAACACTTTAACACCAATGATGTTAACTGACTTCAAATGATTACTGGACTGTTGATGAGGAAGGAATACTTAACTATAAAAATTGGAAAGAGTCCAATTTTAAAATTCTAAAATAAATCTCTATAGTCTGGTGTTTGCCAGTATTAATGAATTACTAGTATGTGACTGCCAGAGCTAGACGATGCTGGACATTCCTGTGCGTAGACACGGTAATTTATTGAGAACATTATGATTTTATTTACGTTATGTTCAAGCAAATTAAACAAGTTGGGTGAAGCAGTTGTATACAGATCTAACCACTATTGTGTCAGCGTATGTAATGAAATGTAAGTAAATAATTGGATAAGCACAGTTTTTTATCAATATTATTAGATAATTTAAACAAAAAAATAGATATCGGTCTAACAAACTTACAATGTGTTTTAACTTACAATTCTGCAATGGTATCACGTGCTAAGGATTACTGGAATAATTTAAATGCATATTTTTCAGTTTAAACCTTTCCATTCATTTATAATAATTGGTTCAATTAAGAAATACGACTGAAACATTGAAGAAATAAATAAACAAAGCGTTTGAACTTTGACGTATTGGTGACAGACAGATGATGACAGACAGCTGTTTTTTTTTGACAACGTCAAATATCAGCTGATGTTACTCTATTCTCTATCTACGGCTGATGTTTTGTACAGACATAGATTGTTTCGGAACATTTTTATACCTAGTAATATCGTATCCATACTGATAACTTATCCATTTTGTAATTAATTTAGAGCATTTTTCTTTAAAACTTTATCTTATTGAATAATTATTAGAATTTATTACTCATTTATCAATGTTTTTAGTCTGTACTTAAACGCCTGCGCTAAAAATATTTTGACCAATCAGCGCTCTACACACGATCGACGCCAGTGTTGCNGATCGACGCTGCCACGTCAAAGTGAGACGGAGTGAATGAAGTGGCGTTTTTCGGCATTTTCGTAGAGCTTCGTCTTCCGAGAAGTTGACTCTTTTTATCGAGTCAATTTAATTCAAAATGCGTGTCTTACTATTTACGCTCCTAGCCCTCGTGGGCTGTGCCCTCGGAGACGAAGTTCCCACAGAAGAAAACGTTCTCGTCCTATCCAAAGCGAACTTTGAAAATGTTATTTCCTCAAACGACTTCATCTTAGTGGAATTCTGTAAGTTTGCCTTAATTATTTCTAATTACACCTTTGTCTTGTAGGATTTTGTAACGTAGAAGCAGTGGTTTTCATTGTTAACTTATAATGTGAGTTGACACGTCAGTGTGTGCTCATACCGGCATGCTTTGTCTTTACATGTATTATTCCGTATGTGACAGATGCCCCGTGGTGCGGTCACTGCAAATCGCTCGCTCCCGAGTACGCCAAGGCCGCCACCAAGTTGCTGGAGGAAGAATCTCCGATCAAACTTGCCAAAGTTGACGCAACTCAGGAGCAAGACCTCGCCGAAAGCTTCGGAGTTCGCGGCTACCCTACACTCAAATTCTTCAAGAAGGGCAACCCTATTGACTACACAGGTAATTCATTTCGCGCCTATAATTAATTCTAAACTTTTCGCTCTATTTGCAGTTGTTGTGTTTAAGAAATTTTACAGTTGGCCAATGTTTAGAAAACTTTTCATGCCTATTTTTCCTGTATGATTCTGACTGCATTGTAATCCAACTAGCATTACTTAATAGATTTTGTTTTGCCTAGGTGGTCGCCAGGCTGACGATATTGTCGCTTGGCTGAAGAAGAAGACTGGTCCCCCTGCCATTGAAGTCTCCTCAGCGGAACAGGCCAAGGAGCTCACTGCTGCAAACACTGTTGTTGTGTTCGGTTTCTTCTCCGACAAGGAGTCTGAGAAGGCTAAGGCTTTCTTGGGTGTTGCCAGCGGCATTGATGACCAGATCTTTGCTATCGTCAGTGACGAGAAAGTTATCAAGGAGTTGGAAGCCGAGGACGAGGACGTTGTTCTATTCAAAAACGTAAGTGTCTTTCATCCTTACATAGTAAATCTAATTATTGACTACTACAGTAGTAATTAATGTAATAATATTATCTAATGTGTTGTGATTTGATAACTAGTGAACTCATTAGATAGCAATTTTATTGGATGACAACCGTTAATAATATTATGATNATAATATTTTTTAGTTTTAGTTACAATCCTTACATAGTAAATCTAATTGGATTTAACTGCTGAAATTGACTACTACAGTAGTAATTAATGTAATAATATTATCTAATGTGTTGTGATTTGATAACTAGTGAACTCATTAGATAGCAATTTTATTGGATGACGACCGTTAATAATATTATGATAAAGCTATCTCTATTTAAAAATTTTATTGAGCCACTTTTTTATTTACTTGTGCGAATTTAGGTAGTTACCTCATAAAGTAATTGTTAACATGTACTGGAAAATTGTTATGGTTTTTATCAAAAACATGAAGATACCTTGCAACTAAGTTGTTAAAAGCAACTTAAAAATAATTGATAGTGAACTTCTCAATTTGTTATCACCAGGTCATCCTGTTATTAGTTCATCATTCTCATTATTGTGAGAAATTACTGATAAAACAATTTAAATTTTACATTGTGCCTAAATGTGATATGGTAGAAAATGATTTAATTACAAAAAGTTTGATTTAAAATGATACTCTGGTTATTAAGTTATTAAGACAATATGCTCCACTAATTCACTTCACTACTGATTTGGTATGCAATGTGTGTCTTAAGCTACCAAAAGCCACATAATGTGCGACGTCACTAAATATGGTAAACCAGTTTGGGTGATTTACATAATCCATCAGCACCAACTAGAATATAAAACGACTTCTATTCAAAACTCAATTTATATTCGATTAGAAGTTAAAAGCATTTTTTTAAAAGTGAATTCCGTTTTAATGAAAATATGAATGTTTAGATGAATTATGTTTGTACAAATCTAAAGAACTGTAGAATTATGACATCTATTATCATGTTCGTTTTCAAATAATGTGAACCGAATAGAAAAGTTTGTGTTTAAACCACATTTTCAATTAGAAAACAAAAAAAAGAATTTGCCGGAGATTTTAATTGTCTTCTCTTGTCAACAGTTTGAAGAGCCCCGCGTTAAGTATGACGGTGAGAAGTTCACAGAAGACTTGTTCAAGACCTGGGTGTTCGTACAAAGCATGCCCGTCATTGTTGAGTTCTCCCACGAGACCGCTTCCAAGATCTTTGGTGGACAGATCAAATACCACCTTCTCTTGTTCCTGTCCAAGGTAAGATATTTTATTTTTATTTTCGCAATTTATCCCCATTGTTTTGCAGGGCAAAAGAATACTACCGCACTTAGCTTCGTGATTGGGCTATTGTGCGCGATTTGTGGTTTATCTTCCATTTTATCCACATTTCAACTTCTCCATTTCGTGTGTAAAAAAAATTGATAATAAAATTATTTCCAAAGTTATTAATTAGTTAGAAGTGTGAATAACTAAAATTCTGATTTTTAAAACTGCGGCAAAAATTGCGCGACCGTAGTCGTTACACATAGTCGAACATTATTATTTTTGCGCTAATCATGAAGCATATTTTTCCAATAAGCAATCAAGAAATATTGATTTTTAATAGTTTTTGGCATACCACAAACATTAGTCTAAAAAATCATTATCAAGTAGTTTAATAGCCTACATTTTTTAAGACATACTATAAAAAACTTATGTATCTGTACGCGTAATTCGCAAGTAGAATGCATAGAAAGAGTGAAAGTTCATTAGGTCAATTGCGGGTCGCGGGCGCATACCGGCGCGGCGTCTTAACAATGAAACAGAAAAGCTGCATCTTAATGCCACACCTTAGTGTCTAAAATTGATTGCATCTATCTGCGAATATCAAGAGCTACCTACATCGTGAAAGTACAAACGTCATGTGACCCAAAGTCGATACAAGGAGATAGTTGTTCATTAAAATGAATACTTTTTAAATATCAAACTGGTTTGACGAAAGTTTCAGTTATACTTTCACATGTGAGATTTTACTTTTGAAATGTCTTGTGATTTTACAAATCGATTTTTAAATTGCATAAACGATCTGAAATGCATACTTATGCTTTTCAAATTAGAAATTCAATTTTTAACTTTAAAAAAGAAAGTTAATCAGACGAGTTTATCTTTCGCGTTGAGAACATATGCTTTTCAAATTAGAAATTCAATTTTTAACTTTAAAAAAGAAAGTTAATCAGACGAGTTTATCTTTCGCGTTGACAACAGATACGCAATTATGATTCAAATATGATGCTGTCCATAAAATTGGTGACATATCTATCCAACTGTACCACTAGATAGCAAAAGTTCTTAAATCTTAATCTAATTATTAAACGTTTGCTCAAATTTCTTAGATACACTTACTTTCAAGCAAGGACAAACCCGACACGACATCGCACTTCCTTAGGGGGCGTCCATAANACATCCTTACATAGTAAATCTAATTATTGACTACTACAGTAGTAATTAATGTAATAATATTATCTAATGTGTTGTGATTTGATAACTAGTGAACTCATTAGATAGCAATTTTATTGGATGACAACCGTTAATAATATTATGATAAAGCTATCTCTATTTAAAATTTTAACTGAGCCACTTTTTTATTTACTTGTGCAAATTTAGGTAGATACCTCATAAAGTAATCGTTAACATATACTGGAAAATTGTTATGGTTTTTATCAAAAACATGAAGATACCATGCAACAAAGTTGTTAAAAGCAACTTAAAAATAATTGATAGTGAACTTCTCAATTTGTTATCACCAGGTCATCCTGTTATTAGTTCATCATTCTCATTATTGTGAGAAATTACTGATAAAACAATTTAAATTTTACATTGTGCCTAAATGTGATATGGTAGAAAATGATTTAATTACAAAAAGCTTGATTTATAATGATATTCTGGTATAAAATTATCAATACAATATGTTTAGCTATTTAATATAGTTTGCCATGTCACTTCACTACTGATTTGGTATGCCATGTGTGCCTTAAGCTACCAAAAGCCACATAATGTGTGACGTCACTAAATATGGTAAACCAGTTCGGGTGATTTACATAATCCATCAGCACCAACTAGAATATAAAACGACTTTTAAAAATCAATTTGTATTCGATTAGAAGTAAAAAACATTTTTTTTTAAACAGAATTCCATTTTAATGAAAATAGGATTGTTTTGATGAATTATGTTTGCAGAAATGTAAAGAACTGTAGAAATATGACATCTATTATCATGTTAGTTCTCAAATAATGTGAAACATATAAAAAAGTGTGTATTTAAACCAAAATTAGTATACAAAAAAGTATTTGCCAGAGATTTTAATTGTTTTCTCTTGTCAACAGTTTGAAGAGCCCCGCGTTAAGTATGACGGTGAGAAGTTCACAGAAGACTTGTTCAAGACCTGGGTGTTCGTACAAAGCATGCCTGTCATTGTTGAGTTCTCCCACGAGACCGCTTCCAAGATCTTCGGTGGACAGATCAAATACCACCTTCTCTTGTTCCTGTCCAAGGTAAGATATTTTTATTTTAGCGATTTACATTTCATTTTGTGTGTAAAAAAGCATTATAAATAAAATTGTTTCTAAACTTATTAGTTAGAAATGTGTAACTAAAATTCTAATTTTTAAAAGTGCGGAAAAAATTGCGCGACCATAGTCGTTATTCATAATCGAACATTATTATTTTTGCGCTAATCATGAAGCATATTTTTCCAATAAGAATCAAGAAATATTGATTTTTAATAGTTTTTGGCATACCACAAACATTAGTCTAACAAAGCATTATCAAGTAGTTTAATAGCCTACATTTTTTAAGACATACTATAAAAAACTTATGTATCTGTACGCATAATTCGCAAGTAACATGCATAGAAAGAGTGAAAGTTCGTTAGGTCAATTGCGGGTCGCGGGCGCATACCGGCGTCTAGCAATGAAACAGAAAAGCTACATCTTAATGCCACACCTTAGTGTCCAAAATTGATTGCATCTATCTGCGAATATCAAGAGCTACATCGTGAAAGTACGCACGTCATGTGACCCAAAGTTGCAAGGAGATAGTTGTTCATTAAAATGAATACTTTTTAAAAATCAAACTGGTTTGACGAAAGTTTCAGTTATACTTTCACATGTGAGATTTTGCTTTTGAAATGTCTTGTGATTTTTCAAATCGATTTTTATATTGCTTATTAACCATCCGAAATGCATTTATCCTTTCAAATTAGAAATTGAATTTTAAAGTTTACATTTTAAAAAGGAAAGTTGTTATAAATGAGACTGAGTTTATCTTTCGCGTTGACATAACAGATTCGCAATTACAAATGATTCAAATATGATGCTCTCCATAAAATTGGTGACATAACATAGATATTATGTCACCAATTGTTGGATAGATCCAACTGTACCACTAGATAGCAAAAGTTCTGAAATCTTAATCTAATTCTTAAACTTTTGCTCAAATTTCTTAGATACACTTACTTTCAAGCAAGGACAAACCCGACACGACATCGCACTTCCTTAATAATTACCATCTCGACCGATCACAGTTTAGAAAAGCCAATGACCCGATAAGTTCAACGACCTTTGCGATTGCTTAGACATCGGTATTCTACGCTCGGTACCGTTCTGTAAACAAAAAATACATCGTTACATCCGTATGACGTACGAATTTAATTAATTGATGTATGAAAGATAGGATGCAAAAAAAGATATATGATCTTTGCAAAATGTTAGTAATATAAGTTGGTACAAACAACTGATAACTTTACACAGGGTTATTGATTCCTCCAGTGTTATTTTAATGCAAATTATATCCCTAGAGAATGCGGTTTTGTTACTAGTAATACGAAACCTTGAGTACTATCCTTGATTTATATGCACTTCAAGTCTATCTTTCTTCAGATCTAGTCACTTTCGCGATATCAATTCTGTTATACACTTCTGTCTGACCATAAAATTAAATAATGGATCAGGCAATAGGCGTATTTGTACATTCCAATTAGAAATCCTTTTCCTATCCTATCTATTGTGCAAATAAGTTTGCGAATTGAAATTTTAAGACTTTAAATAAAATATGCTTCCAAGCTGAATTCATATGGTGCGTCCACACTGGGCGAATATGCTCGCGCGGCAAACTCGACATCTTGCTCACTCAAGAGCAGGATGTCGAGTTTGCCGCGCGAGCATATTCGCCCAGTACAGAATACTTATAAGAATTACTACTAATACAAGAATTACTTCTCAAATTGCCTCAAAATCCGTATTCAACTTAAAATAAAAAACTAAACTTAAACTTTTTGGTTTAGAAAAATGGCGACTTCGAGAAGTACCTCGACGAACTCAAGCCTGTGTGCAAGAACTACCGCGACAAGATCATGTGCGTCGCCATCGACACCGACGAGGATGACCACCAGAGGTACGTGTAACATATTAAGGAAGAAATCTTTAGGAAAACCTGCTTTTTATTGACGAAAATGATGTTAATTAATGCAGTATGGCTTCTAGAACTCGCCACCTGTTCGTTTTTGGTGCGATGTCATGATATTTTTATTTTGTGGGGTAATTAATAGTTTATCTTGACGATATCTTACTATTTTCGTAATTATCATCAAGAATTAGGTCATTTTGGGAGAATAAAGTAACTTTGTATTATTCATATTTATTACGCAATGGTCAGTCGAATTGTGTAGTAATGTGTAATAATGTAAGTGAGAAAATAAAATTCGGACGAGTGTCTTTATTATTAGTGAGAAAGTGACACTGATTTAACATTGGGAAATTTACGCTTTGGATACTAGATAAAGTGACGTTTCCCCAACAGAATCCTGGAGTTCTTCGGCATGAAGAAGGATGAGGTTCCTTCCGCCCGTCTGATCGCCCTGGAACAAGACATGGCCAAGTACAAGCCCGCCTCCAACGAACTGAATGCCAACAGCATCGAGGTAAGTGATGTTTACCTTTTCTGCCATTTTTACGTGCGTTACTTCTCGTCGGTAGTAAAATAAATACATTTAGAGAAAAAAACAACCCTTCTACTGGCGCAGTTGGGTAAAGACTAATTTAGAATAGGCTAGATGACAAAATTTCAATTATTTGTCCGTCAGACAGAAAATTAGAAAATATTAGACTCATATTTTTTATTTTCTTTCATAATTAATTTAATTCATAAATAATAACAGTGCTACATCGAGTTGAAATGGCGCGATACTTCACGCTTGAGTAGAATTTTTACTCAAAAGTGACGTCACGCGACATTTCAACTCAATATAATACCTACTGTAATTATTGGATTGTGGAAAAAAAAAATATGAGTCTAATATTTTCTAATTATTCTGTCTGACGGACTAAATAGAATTTCGATTTAATTACCCAGTCATCATCCCTATTATACAGGGTGTTAGGTAAATGGGTATATGAGCCGACACTAGCCCATGTTAACATGGGCATATAAATGGTATGGTGAAGTCAGAAATTTGATATCATAATTTTATTTTTTTAAATTTTCATATAAAATAAATAATATAAAATCCGATTTGTATGAAAATTAAAATAATGAAAATGAAGATATCAAATTTCTGACTTCACCATACCATTTATATGGCCATGTTAACATGGGCTAGTGTCGGCTCATATACCCATTTACCTAACACCCTGTATTGATGCGCTAAAACTGTAATCTTTTTTGTCAAAAATTCCGTTTGATTTTGCGGTGTTTTGAGTCTAGCAATGAAGAAAACCTAACTAAAGTATAAGCCTACTTAAACGTTAACGTTCTTTTAAATACGCTACAAATAATACGGTGACACTAGAAAACTACTATTGTGAGAATTACATGCCGGATACGCGTTCCACTCGGTTGCTTTGACACGGCAAAGGTTGAAAATAGATAGTTAGCACCCACCTCGTTGAACAATTGAATAAATATAGGCTGTAAGAATGGATAAATGTACGTATTTTCATTTCTCATAGGTAGTTGATATTTAATCACGTTATTACTATTTTATAATGAAGCGTCAAATCAATTTACGCGTAACCTGTAAATCGCGATTAAAATTATTTTTAATCAGTGTTGTATGATTGTAACATTTTTTCTACAACCAGTAATTTTTAACTCGTAAATCTAACAGATTCTAGTTTTGTGAAACATAATATTTATACTTGATAACACTAAACAAAAATTGGCTTTGGTTGTAAAATGAGAATTTATTGCTACTTTTCCACATATCTAATTGATAACGAGTTCAAAACCGGCGAAGTAATACGGGCCTTATCAAAAACGAATAAAGCTTTAATACGCCTGACCGATATAATGCATTTTATGATTAAACCACATTATCGGTTTTCCAGCTCTCTTGTATTCAAGGTGTTTTAACAGTAGCTTGATGCACTTTAAAATGTATATGAAAATATGTTTGTTTGTCCCGTATGCGTTTATCCGATTGTGATGAAGCTTTGGGTGAGTATTTTTTCACACCAAAGCATTTATAGAACTAATTCCCATTGTAAATCGCAACGTGGACGTAGACGCGTAAAAGTAGCTAAAGCCAGCATTGTATACTAGTGAGCCGTTTCGCAAATATACAAAGACCTTAATAGTTTAGTGTAAATAGTTTTAGTCATATTATTCACCTTATAACAGCAATTTCATCATCTACCCGTGCAGGTTCATCATATTTGATATTCGATCTATATTCTCTATATTATATCTTATATTGTTGATAATAGTCGCCAAAATTAAAATTTCGAAATTCTATTTGAAACTAAACTAGTTAATATTGGACCATATGAAACTAAGGGCACATTTAGTTTACGCTCCGATAAACATTGATTGAAGTAGGCATAAAAATATTATTTCAACTCAGTATTTATTTTGATACAATTTAGTTGTAGTTTAGTGAAAAAATTATATGAGAATTGGAGTACAGTTTATCAACCACATTGTTTTCCTGCTAACTCATACTTTTGTCCATAGGAATTCATCCAGTCGTTCTTCGACGGCAAGCTTAAACAGCACCTGCTCAGCGAAGAGTTGCCCGAGGACTGGGCCGCCAAGCCAGTCAAGGTGCTGGTCGCCACCAACTTTGATGAAGTCGTCTTTGACGAGAACAAGAAAGTGCTCGTTGAGTTCTACGCCCCATGGTGAGTTGCTTATGTTACTTGTAACTTATTGAGATTACCTTGCTAAGGAATTCTATGTATAATCAATATTAATGTAAAGATTATAGCCTATATCTGACCCGGTTAATAAGAGGTTTGCGTACGAAAAGAATTCTGATCAGAATAGCCGAATTACACGTCATCGACCTTGACTCTCTCTTTTGTTTTCTTTGATTCTGATTTAATACATTCTCAGTTAGATCGGATTCATAGTTTCACTACACCTATTACTAAAGTAGAGGTAGGCCGATGTTTTGCTCACTAACGGTGACACTTAACGATAACTCGTTTATTCGATTGCGTGCGAAAGAAGCGTCAGATATTCAAAGTAATTCTTGTTCGTAATCTTGAAATATTCACTTATTGCCTTTTCAATGAGTTTAACCCACGTGTCTCAATGTGACTATTTATTGCATCAGATTTGAATTTACCAACTTCTTTACAGGGTCTTTATGAAACACTTGTGATTATACTTTTTCATATTCAAGGAGTAATTTACTTAGTGACAATATAACTTACTCGTTTATTTAAGTATTTTTCGGTAACATTTGGCGATAATTTTATTCAATTACGCCCTAAATTACGTAGACATTTGTTTAAATGGAAAAGTAACAAGCAGTAAGCAAATACAAGGAATTGTTCAAAGTCAAATGAACGAAATACTGACATTGAAAACAATGAATGTTCTCCATTACTCATTTATTGTTTTATCAGGTGTGTTTGTGCATTGTAATAACGGGTAATAGGTATTTAATTTTTATCGGCCATCTTGCCAGTTTCTATGTCAAGACCAGACATAGTGACGTGTTCTGATAACACGTGGAACTTTGGACGTGTCTCGATGTTCGACTTTCGACTCGTTAAATCTTTAAATTCAGAGCATCACAAGTCTGAAGATAGGTTCGTTGAGTTTGTATCAAGTTTTGAATGACATTTTATAATATGTGTCTCAGTACATCACCCAGTAAACATGTTAAATTAACTCCAGTGACAACTTATGTTAATTGCACTTGTACTAAACTATTGCTAATTGTAGTTGTCAGTGGCTCTGTGAAAACTTACTGACTTATCTGTTTATCGTTTATCGAACCGTTAATCAACGTCCGGGTAATTCCTACGCATTGCACTAAATAAATGCCAGATAATTAATTTTTTTGATGTTATCGTCTTTGATAAGCCTAATTAAACAATGACTTCAGAAGTTTGCGAACCATTTCTACATTCATTCTATCTTGACCCATATCTGCTTCATATCGATTCTTCCTACTAAAAATATTTAGGCTCAAACGACAACGGTCCCAGCTAAACATTGTGGGATTCTTATGTAGTTTTAATAAGAACGAATTTGCAATGAAAATGTAGTCTGAAATGATGTTGTCTGTACATATTAGTACATGAATAGGGAAAATATACCGTGAGATGAGTCAGCTTTTCTTTCTATACATACAAATATGATAAAGCTGAAGAGTTTGTTTGTTTGAACGCGCTAATATCAGAAACTTCTGATCCCATTTCAAAAAAAAATTGCATAGCCCATTTATCGATTTATCCATAGGCTTTAGGCTAAATCTAAATCACATGACCCTACAGGCAATAGGGGCGGAGCTGTAAATGAAAATGTTGCAAAAAAGGGAAATATTATTCAAACTAGTTTCACGCGTACGAAGTCGCGGGCACAGCAAGTATTTGATACGGGGTTAGGCTAGCAACATCCCCCATCGAGATAATGTGTCAGATAATTTTCTCAAATGTAGCATAGGGCGTTCGTTATTCCGTATTCAATGGGTCGGCATTAACACGTTGACGTTGCGTCGGCTCTCATTTGCCCGATGGCTCGGAAAGTGTTATGCAAATTATTATTGTTGGTAGGTAGCTGTTATCTTATCACGAACCCACGCCTTTGCCGGCGACAACACGGCGTCGTGGATGTATTGTTGGGACGCACTTTTGTGCTATTTATAAAGTTCTAAGGAGTGTTTAATATTCAATAGATCAATATATTATAATGATTAGCAACTACATACTTAGTTGTTTGCGTGATTGTAACGTTTTGTTAACATTAGTACAAAGTTGTTTTGAATGTTATAACAGAGATTTTATGAATACGATCAAAGTGCGCCAAACATTGTAAAAACGAATGCAAAATTGCTATACTATTCATAATGAAAAACAAATTACTTTTAACATGTACCTACCATGTATCGAAATATTTTAGAACAATTGAACCTCTTAAACTAAAAAAAGTGAACATCGGAAAAAAAATACGACTCCCGCGCTTTTCCCGGGTTTAAAAGTTTTCAGATGCTCATTTGTTTACGTTTACATTGTTTTCGCGTAGGTTTTTAATTAGTAGATTTTGTTTTCACGTAGGTTTTTAAAATTCGAACATGTGGCCTGATATTTGTCAATTTGGCTCAGTCTAACCAACTCGATGTTTTCACAGGACCCGTTATTTTTCCACAATGAGGGTTTTCGCGAATGAAAAATCCGCCAGATGGCAATACGTAGACGCGAGGTCCAAATGCTGCGTGATTGGTTATTTTTGACATGACATTGACAGATATGTCAAAATCCACCAATCACGCAGCAGTCAGACTCCACATCCACGTCCCGCCATCTAGCGGATCTTTCATTCGCGAAAACCCTCATTTAGCTCGTTCTGACCAATTCCATTTCTTTCTCAGGTGCGGCCACTGCAAGCAGTTGGTGCCGATCTACGACAAGCTAGGAGCGCACTTCGAGAAGGACGATGACGTGGTGATCGCCAAGATCGACGCCACCGCCAACGAGCTGGAGCACACTAAGATCACCTCATTCCCTACCATCAAGCTTTACACTAAGGACAACCAGGTATGCACCGTAAAAACATACCTACCAATCGAGTTGAGAACCTCCTCCTTTTTGAAGTCAGGGATTTTTTGTATGTTGACGACTTGGGAGACGATATGTACCGTTAGAATTCGATTAAGATGTGTGCAAATTATATCCGAATCCAATTGGAATTTAAATGTATAAAAAACATGTCCTTGCTAGCTGGTTTTTAACGAAGTATAAAAGAAGCTTATGTTACGAAGTCGGTTTTTATTACACTTTTTAAAATGATCGATCTCAAATAATGATGTTTATCGCACTGCATACGTTGACATCGCAATCTTTATCAGGCAGATGATGATAATATATCTGATACACATTCTTACAAATATCAGATGCAACGCAAGACATTATAGGCTACTCAGAATTTGTTTTTTCCGTGTAATTTTAACTTTACAGGAGAATTAAAGTTATTTTCCTGTTAGGGTAGTTATGCTAAATGCAATGAAGTAAATTAACAGAATACTTCGTGTATCATATCCATATAAATGTGATTCATTTTTATCTAAATTGCGATTATAGAATAGAAACGTGACTAAAATCAGGAGTCAACACAGATAGACATGTCATTCATGAGTCGATCTCGCCTTACTATCTGTCAAGGATATGTCAAATAATGATGATATTGTGTGCGTGCGTTGCAATAGCTACCGATATTGGGAGTATCGCGTTAGATTATTTTTCATTTGTATTTATTTGACTCGAGCTTTGTTATTATTATAATTATTCTAAAATAATCGCCATAGTGGCGTCATAGAACATTCATACGTAACCCAAAATTTTAAACTAGGTATTTTATTTATAAGTGCATTACTCAATATTGCTTGCCTTGTAATTGTCAGACTTTAAGTAGGTAATAAATCCCAGTGGCTGTACAAACCTTCAGTATCCCAGATATGACATTGACAGGAGGGCGCTATTATGAATATCAATGCTGGCTCTGATTTTTACACGTTTCAATATCATTGGACTTCTATTTTTGTGGTATATTTTATAAATGTGTTTTATTCGTAGGTCCGCGACTACAACGGCGAGCGGACGCTGGCCGGACTCACTAAGTTCGTTGAGACCGACGGCGTGGAGGCTGAGCCCACACCAAGCGTGGTAAGTTCGCCTGTACATCATCATCATCATTTCAGCCATAGGACGTCCACTGCTGAACATAGACCTCCGCCAATGATTTCCACAATGGCCGGCTGGTGGCGGCCTGCATCCAGCGCCTTCCCGCTACCTTTATGAGGTTGTCGGTCCACCTTGTGTGTGGACGTCCTACGTGGCCTCCACTCAAAACCTTGCTGCCCGTCAGCCTGTTTGCCTGTACACTGTCTAGCATTTGCTTTCGATATCGATAAAGCCGCACATAAGTATCGGGATAGATTTTATTCTGTAATCGCTGTCTTTTTCTTTTGGAAGTAATTAGATTGATTGGTGGAAAAATTAGGCCACTTCTAAGTCTGATTTTTTGTTATCTCTGCGCTCTATAAATCAATCGCGGATTGAAGTTCATTTGCTCTATGAATCAATCACGAAATTGAATCTGGAGATTTATAGGAACTGTTTCATTTTTAAGACGTAGCGAAACGAATACGAAATCAAATGTGTCGTAATATTACTCTGTTACATGATCGGATTGTTTCCACATGAGCTTTGTTTTGATCCGTTTAGAAGCGTTTTATGACACTCAATTAGTTCCTTACTAAAGAAAGTGACGCTAGCTAGGATTATATGATGATCCAAATGTATATTATATTACAATTTGGTTGTTTTTTTCCGCAGAGCGAGTACGACGAAGACGACGACGTGCCGGCCAGAGACGAGTTATAAGCCCACGGCGGCGCCCGCTCTCATGAGACTTCCATAGAATAGTTCTGTATAGATTATAATATTTTTTACTTAATCCGACACTAACCTTCGCATTTCATTCGCTAGCTGTTGAATAGTTCTCTAAAACATAGGTTGTTTCTTGTCTCCTGTATTGATATTGAAGGAATACTCGGGTTTCATCGTCGCGCGGTCAGATCTCTCAACGTGCCCTTTTATTTATTCGGATAATAAATAACTTATTTCGTAAGATATCAGCATAATTAATTTTATGTACGATACGAATTGTATTTATAATTTCTGTATCATAATGGTATATATTCTTTCACATTCCTTAGTACAAGTTTCGTCGAACAATTCGTTTTGATTCATTTTGTATGAGTGAAACTATTATTTTTTTACTTTAAATGCAGCTGTTGAGGTCCTCATCACAAAAATATTTTATAAGGTGATCTTATTGTAATATTGTTGTATTTTTATACGCATTTTATTTGTTTTTACATATAGTTAAGCTGTTGGGTTATTCATAGGAAGGTGCTTTCCTGTCAAACTTATCAAGTAGTGACTCTAAAATTGTGCAATTCTTATTATGAATTTGAAATTAACTACAATGATGAATGTATATAAAATTCACATCCATAGTAATCGCCAAATCTGCATTTTGTGTATCTATTGTGGATACAGAAATTGATAAATAAACAAAATTAAATATACAACCTACTTTTATTGATTCACCCTTTCCCCACAGATACAGGATAGGTCTTATACTGATAAGAAAAACAATAATTGTGTGATAATTATTTTATTATCTTAAATACAACGATTATTACAACATAAAATAACTTTTATTAAATAATTAACATTAAGCTTGTTCTTTTCAAATTATCACATTTACACCAAAAGAACATTTAATTGAGACAAAGTGGAATGATCGAGTTTATACAATACTTTGTTAGTACAGTTACTTTGGTATGAGGGGTTAACATTAACAAGGTAACTTTAGTCGTATAAAGCCCGGTCCGTGAGCACGTAGAATTTTGTCCAATGACCCCTAGCTACCCATTCTTATCGCTCGCGGGTAATTATGTTGCTATCGCGCTCGCACACTCACTGCGGGTGCCAGTCGCACAGTCGCGACAGCAATATAATTACGCGCGAGCGATAAGGATGGGTAGCTAGGGGTCATTGGACAAAATTCTACGTGCTCACAGACCAGACTATAGGTGGATTGGTTTGGTGATATAGGACATCAGACATGGGATTCTCATATTCAAGTTTAGGAAGCAACTTGAGGAAGAATAAGGTCTAAAGCTGGATCCGTATACGTACTCAAGAGCGTGCGTAAGTGATCAAATTAATTATTGCAATTATAAAGGTAGACTTTATACGTAAACCGTGCACGTTAACTCATACGGATTTTATGTGCTTCAAGTTCAACATAATAACAGTAACGATTATTGTCAGTTGGCTTCATATCTCATTTCATAAGATCAACGTACTCGTGATCAACTGATAGTTGTTTATTTTCACGCTAAAATGTGAAATAATTGATTAGACATTAGATAGAAGTAATAAGAAATGTCTACTGCGCCTCAACAAAAGTATATTTAACGTTACAATAGTGTATGAAGCCACTTTAGTTGAAATTTGGGAAAATCCTTATAAATACCAACATATTTCAGTCTTCCTTACAACTTGTGTGCTGTGCATTCCATCACTTCTTTGCCTCTTTATATCATTCTCAAAATGCTCAGCTATGTGTTTTGAAAATGCGATCGGATATACATCACTTTATAAATAGTTAATATTAATTTATACCCTACATTTTAAACCGGCATACCCTTTGGTATACGAATATTCCCTGTTTTATACAAATAAAAATAAATCTCATCAATGAACAAAAACAACCCAAATGTTTTGTAATTTAAAATAATTTCATGATTTAAATCTACATTTTCACAAAATGTGTATACAAATCGATATACATGAGATAAAAAGCAAATATCATGTCATAAAACCATCGTTTATCACAATCAAGACCTTTCACTTCGAATACATACATCATACTATAAAACCGTAATTCATAATTACATAGTCGTTATAACACCAACGGTCTTTTATTAAATGCTCCCATGGTCTAGTGACACTGCACACGGTATATATTAGAGAAATCTACTTAATTATACTTATCCTAGTGTACACGATTAGTCAATGATGCGGCATGTACTTAAGTGATGAAGCTGTTACATAGTATTTTAGATTGAAGTATTTTAAGTTGAACGAAAACCACTAAGTAGGCTTAAAACATTCAAAAGTCGTTAATAATTGATTTATTTATGATGTTACGTGATAATTTTGTTAAGTGACCTTTGATCTTTCTCGTACAAATTGACTTTGTCAGAAATGTGATAATATGTAGCACAAAAAAAACATCTAAAAACCCGAATTAGTCTCTATTAACAAGGCTTTATGATTTTATTAAATACCATGATAACTACTTTGAAATATCAAAAGTTATATGATAAAAACTTTCATAAATATATTTACACGAACCAATTCATTGTTTGCACACAAAATTATTAAATTGTATTACAGAAATCTGTAAGATCAGCTTAAAATATTTCAATTACATCTATAAAAAGCCAGGCACCAAACGGCATATTGAAACTTTGAAACACAGTGACTTTCTTGGCCGGTGCGGTCGGCTAACAACGTTTATACAAATTAAAGTATAACTAAAATTACGTGCTCACCAAAAGTATTACCCCCTTTAAGTATGTATAGTGAAACATAATTAAGTGTAATAGCAGATACATTTAGAAATAATTCATTTCATTTATAAAATATAATAATTTCTAGATTTCATAATAAATTAAATTACAGCACCCGACCGCACCTCTTTTCTCAAACCGGCACAGTTAAACCATATCTATAGGTACACAATTCGATGCAAAAACAACAACATTAAATCTAAAGCTAAGTTTGAATACTCGGGTTACAGTGGTTCCCAAACTGTTGGGTTAAAGCCCGCTAGGCGCGGCCATGTTTTTCTGCCTCTTCAAATCGTTCAAAATTACCAATTAATATTGAAAGGTAGCATTGGGACTGATTCTGTCAGCCAATCTAAATAGTCGTCAATCCCCTTTTCACAAATGATTTTAAACAGTATTAGGCCTGGTTTCCAACAAATCAGAGAGAAGAGATGTGTTTGAATAACCAATCAGATTTCGTTATTTCCACATCACATCTCCGCTCAGCTTCGATTCGGAAACCGGGCCTTCCTTAGAGCTCTTTCAAGTTAGACGTTTTGAGCCGGACACATTCGCCGGACAATTCCGCACACTTAGACCCTTTTCACACGTCCCGGTTGCCGGCTAACCGGCGCCGGGTATCCGGTGGTGAAGTGTATGGGCATGGTGCGTAGCTTTCACATGTTCCGGCGTAATTAATCCGGCGTCAAATGAGCTTTCACACGCCCCGGTTGATGACGGCAGTATCGACTAGAGAGCCGACAAGAGTACAGTCTCGTTCATTTCATACTAACTTTCAAAGATGGACCGTGAACAAATAATTGCAATGTGGCTTTTATATCGAAGACGAAAATATCTGCGCTGGAAAGAAATATCAAGAAATTATTGGGTTCATCCAATTAATATGAAAAGAGATGCATTAGGTGTATTCTATACATTACACCCAGATCTACGAGCACATGAAGACAGGTTTTTCCAGTACTTTAGAATGTCTATAACTACTTTTGACGAATTACATAACCGTTTGAAGAACTCTTTGCAACGTCAGGATACAAAACTCTCGCAGACTGTACCTGGACGACTGACCGGCCGGCGCGTGTGAAAGCTAGTTGCGTGTTCCATACACCACTGTCAGTTCGGCCGCCGGCTAACCGATGCCCGGCGACCGGACGTACAGTGGTGGATCCGGCGCGCACCCGGCGACCGCCTGCCGGATTAATTACGCCGGAACGTGTGAAAGCTACGTACCATGCCCATACACTTCACCATCGGGTACCCGGCGCCGGTTAGCCGGCAACCGGGACGTGTGAAAAGGGCCTTACTGTTGGTACTTGTCAATTTTATTCCAACGCAATTATCATACAATTTTCCGTGTGAGTTCTACAAACGAACGATATGCGACAGGCATCCGTCTCAAAACGTCTTATTTGAAAAAGTCTTTAGATCTGTAGTTACATTCAAAATTGACCAAAAGTATGTTTGAAAAGCCAAAATTAGTTCTTACTAAAATAACATTGAAGTTAACACCTAAAATCCGAGCCCTATCATCGTCCTACCTGGGGTAACCGCGTATCCTGTCCTCAACCGCATCAGAGCGCAAACATGGAGTCCTGTTCCTCCTTCTTGATCTGGCGGTGGCGGGGTGTTTGCGAGGGAGTGCTTTGGGCCCGGTTGTCGGCGTTGGGAAGGCTTTCGGCGGCGGCGGCGCGTTCCGCGAGGAATTTGTCGAAATCGCTGCTGGTTACGCTCTCTTGGGCGCCGTTTGCGTCTGTTGCGGCCTATAGGGAGAAAAATTCACTTATTTCATTCCGATTTTAATTAAACTACCGATTAGTGAGGTTAACCGTCCGATAGTCCGGTCTCCGAGCAGATAGAATTTCGTCCAATGATGGATCATTGGTAAAGCTACCCATCCTTATCGCTCGCGCGTAATTATATTGCTGTCTCGCTCGCACACTCACTGCGGCCGCCCGTCGCACAGTCGTGCGACACTGCAATATAATTACGCGCGAGCGATAAGGTTGGGTAGCTTGGGGTCATTGGACGAAATTCTATCTGCTCGGCGACCGGACTTTATTGATCGATATTCAATTATCCGTATTTACAGATCGATTTTTTGTTTATTCGTGATTTGTGATGAATGTTAATATTAGTTGATGAAATAACTAAAATATTGTGTGAATCGTAAGATCCGTATGATAGTTTTTATCTTAGCTCTAAAATGCGGTTAGTGCATACGTGCCCTAAAAATAACTGATCGTAAGTACTTGTTATCGTTATGGATGTGTGTAAAATAAATAAATAAATGATGTTAATTTAAAATTTTAGTGAAACTCAAAAATGCAGTTAGGTAATAAAAAAATAAGTATGGTGCATAATTTATGGAGAACAGAATATAAATGTAAAACGTGGACTAATAAATAAAATAAGTATATAACATTTGAATAATGACGTAAATAAAATGAAATGAAAATAAAAACACACCTTCTCTTGTTCTAACCAAGCGGCTATCTCATCTATCTCTCTCTGATCCATCCCTGTGGGCTAAAATATAATAATAAAATAAGTATAAAAATATAAGAATCATAGCTAAAATGTATAAAATATAATTGAAAGTAGATAATGAAATAATTCTTTTGACAATAACGAATAAAATTATGTAAAAATAAATAAAAGTAATATCAGTAACAGTAGGATATGCGATTATGAAGTTGATAATTATAATCTTATATCCGCACGCAGTTTGTTGCTTATCCATTTGCACATTGTGCGATGTTGTGCAACGTTTCTGAATATGTTGAGCGTTACGTATTTTGCGTAAGCTGCTGCCTATTGGATATTAGGCCTCAGCTGTAATTTTTAGAACCATAAGATTAGGTAATATGGTTCAAAATAAGTCAACAGCTATATTGCCACGGTCTGTAAATATATTTTTGTTGGACCATAAGACCGCTTTCATATTAGGGGGTGAGAAGCGCGACAGCAGCGCGGCAGCGGCGTTTTTATAATATGAAGGCAGGCATCCGCTGTCATATAGTATGAAATTATCGGCAGCGCGTCTGTCGCTGCTAAAGTCGTCTAAATGTGAAAGCGCTATAAGACAATAGGGTTCAAAATACGTCAGCAGCTATATCGCCGCTCCTGTAAATCTATAGTCATTTCACTAGACCTTAACACAAGGCAACAAGGTTGATATCTCACCAGCGGCTGGCCCTGCGTGGCTCGCTGGCTGGCGGCGGCGGCCAGGCTGCCGCCCGTCTGCTCCTCCAAGTTGTCTGCGTAGCTGCTGCCACTGCGAACACGGTTTATTGTTAAATAGGGTAATAGACACGCCACAACCCAGTCAATGAAACTGCGCAACTCGCTGAAATGCGACTTCCTCGCACTCGCACACCTCACGTTTGCCCCGTCCGTACCAGAGCGTCGACGTGACATCATGGCTGTCAAGTGCGCAGTTAACTCAACCGGGTTATAGCTAATGATTCACTAGATCCCCATAGTAAATGCTTTATACGTAGTGTGTATCTTTTCTCAAAGGTTTTAATACCACTTTATCACCTGTCATTGCACTGGAAGGAAGCCAATCCTTAACTCTTAATAATTTCATTGCAGTCCAATGAGGGCTATCGTTTTTATACTTAACAGTTGGCACCCCTGGCGATTGACAGGACCTTACTCTACAGTGGCGCCATCTTGATGAGTGCAAATGCGATAGTCCTCCTACCACTTTAGCGCTCACCAGTTGGTGCCACTGTCTTCGCTACTAGCAAGTGACAGGACCTTAAGGACGAATCCAGGTTTTTTTTTAGGGAGGGGATTTTTTGAGATTCACTCCTAATTGTTCAAATGTTTTTATTCCTCCACAGATGACAGAATGAGTGACACAGTAGACTTTTTGTCTGTAACCCGAAACTACATAAACGGCGTTAAGAAATAGCACTGCTAATCTCATTAAATTACATTTTTGTAAAATAATAAAACATGACCTTAGTCACTTTGAATCGTACACGTTACACGAGGAACATCAGTCTGAATCGTGATTCAAAATGATGACCACGACCACTCTGACAAGAGTGTACCGACTGAGAAGAATAGTCACTTACCCAGTTTTAGATGTTTCGTAGGTAACGTTCCGCGACTGCGCGAACATATCGAACTCGTCCTTCGACGCCTGCCCAGGCGATCGATCGGGCTGCGAGTCTTTCACGCCTGAAAAAATTGTGTGTTTAATAAAAAAAATAATGAGCCAATTTCATATTTTTATACCATACAAATCATGAAATCTCAAAAATATATTCCAGTATTATTTATTATTAGTACACCATGGTGAATTCAAAATAAAAAAATGCTTATATTAAAACCATAAGTTTCATACAGCCTTGAACGGTACTTTGAGTCTACTACTTTGAGGTAACTTACTCAGTTTTGCGACGTCCGGCACATCATCGCTCAAGTCGATCAAGGCGTCATCTTCAGGCTTCTTTGCTGTAAATAATAACATACTTTTGCAACAATATTATCTAAAAATAATAGTTTTCTTCTACCAGTGTGGGCCAAATAAAATGTAATCAAAGTTTTAGAAAATGAATGTATATTTAAAGTCAACATGGCGTTGTCTATTACTCACGTGATTCGTTTTTAGGCACGCCCATAGCAGCGCCCAAGATAGCAGAAGGGGTGGCTCCAGTCACAGCATTCCTGTGAAATACAAAACCTATATTTAGAGATCCAAAATAATTAAGTTAAGATTCCTAATACGCATGCCGCTCATAGTACTCAGAACTGACGGCCGATGGGGCAGTAAGGTTCTGGAGTACAGGCCACGTACCGGAAAGCGCAGCATAGGACTTCTATCCACAAGGTGGACCGACGACCTCATAAAGGTGGCAGGGAGGTAGGTTTTTTCGTCACTGTTAACACGAAAACGCCCAACGACCTAAACGCCAGAGCCCTCTAGTGCAGTTAGATTGAGTTTACCTGTTGTTGATTAGGTTCAAGCACTAGATCCTGGCTACACAGAAGTTGCAGCGGTGGGAACGAGAGGTGGGAATGGTCCTATACCATAGAGATCTAGAGAGATACCAACCAATGAGAGAGTCAGTAGTAACCAATCTAGAGAGATACCAAAAAATGCGCTGTGTTCGAAACTCAGTCGCGTTAGGGATTCACACACACAAAGTTATCAATTAAATACTTCGCGAAGTGTGTGTGTCGTGCACACATTGCATTCAGTGCGACTACATACGCAGTCACGTGCGATTGAATGTATTTTGTTACTTTGAATGTGCTCATTATCCACTGACTCAACGTGCTAATAATCTTTTTAGTATTACGCAAGCAATGTAAACTGTTTATACTTAAAACGTCAACTGCATGGCACATCGCTGTCGCAAGCAATGTGTTCTGTTTTTGGGCATATTGCTGCGACACTAGCCACGCCCCCTTTTCACATCTCCCTTTAGTTCTTGTGATCTGTGTCCCGTACCGGTTGTTGACGTGGCGCTGGTGCCGCAGCAGCAGGTTGTTCAGACGGTCGTTGGCGTGCAGCAGCTCAGCTGTGAGAGGCGACTCGCCTGCCAGCCGCCCTACTAACTCGGCAACACGCGTCTGCATGGCTCGCAAGGTGTCTGCTAGCTCCTGGAAATACGACTATATGTTAGTTATAATACGAGCGACGGATCCCATGTGACGTCATTAACGATTCTACAAAAAAGGCTAAGGGAGTATGACTTGCACTTCTTCCACCACGCCCAGATGCGCAGGCGATGTGGACAGTGTACGTGCGACGGGCGGCCGCAGTTAGTGTGCGAGCGCGACAGCAATATAATTACGCGCGAGCGATAAGGATGGGTAGCTCGGGGTCATTGTACGAAATTCTATCTGCTCGGCGACCGGACTTAAGTTGATAATGTGTATACGCGCGAGCGATAAGGATGGGTAGCTTGGGGTCATTGAACGAAATTCTGTCTACTCGGCGACCGGACTTTAGTTGATATAAATGTGTATGTGAGTGCGTAGATGGGTTTTAGGCGGTTATCACACTGCACCGCGCTCCGCCGCGGAACGCGGGACGACAGATTTAATCATTGTATGCAAGTACCTAAGTTTGTATAGAAAACACGAGCGGCACTTCAGACTGACAACGCGTCTGCGCGCGGGATTTTTTATATGAAATCACGCGCTCCGCCGTAGAGCGCGGCGCAGTGTGATAACCGTCTTAGTGATGTGTGTAACTTATAATAGCCACGCTCTTAACATACGGGAGATACTGATCGGGCGTCCTTTTTGGCACTCTGTCTGTCTTTTTTATTCTGTGTGTCAAACATTTATTAATATTATATTCTATTGTATAATTACACTCACGTTAAGCAATTCTATATCGCTGGGGTGGTGCGCGGCGGGCGGCTGCGACGTGAGCTCGTTAAGCATGTCGTTCATGACGGCCATGTTGCCTTCCACCACGCCCAAGTCGGCGCGAAGCTTGTTAGTTTGACTCTCGGATAGGGTCACCTGTTTGGAAATACAAAAACATACAGTCGAATTGAAAACATCCTCTTTTATTCAAAGTCGGTTAAAAATTGCAAAAACACCGCTTGATAAGTGAACACGCTGTTACTGAGTGAGTGTGACTGTTTTGTGGCAAATAAAGCCTATATTTGTATATTCAGATTTGTGTTTAGTAAATATTCCTAAAGCAAACTGCACGTAAAATGCATTTCAAAAAGTTGTACAAATACAAAATCATTTATTGTGAATCATAAGTAAAATGGTGACATGTTACATTAGGTAGTATCACTATGTTCCGCTCAAAGAGCATACAATTTGCCAGACAACAATAAAATTTGGCAGTTACATATACTAATTAGATTTATCGTCAAAGAATTGTAGTAAAGTAGTTTTGTAAGAAGAATACAAAAAAATAGGTACTTTTTTGTTTTCAAATCATAAATCTTATAATAGTTTTCTAGTATAGGTCTAGTGCCTGAGGTATGGGAGCGACACGGGACGTTGTTTTTGAGACTTCAAACGTCAGCGAAACCCCAGATGTATAGTTCCAAAATACTGAACTGTCCTATCCATGACATTGACAGTGGGGCGCCACCGTCAATACCGGATCGCTGGTTCCGATTTTTGCCATGTTGGAAACCATATAGTTGAACGATGGTAGCGCCCCCCTGTCATTGAGTTTGGTGGGACAGTTCAGCGTGGGTCGTCTATATTTCAGATCTGTATGCTCTGTCATCTCTTACATGTCAATGTGTTCCCCCTTCCCATACCTCAGGCACTAAGTTATGATAGATATGATTTTTTAATTGGTTTTCGTTCTAATTGCACATTTTACATACCGTAGCGACCGCCTGTTCAGGGCTGGGCCTGGTGGGCGAAGCCTGCGGCGGCGCGCGTTGTGGAGACCCTACCAATACTGGCTCAGGACCATCGGGGACACTCTGGAAATTGTGACACTGTGTTAGGCGATTATCACACTGCACCGCGCTCCGCCGCGGTACGCGGGAAGACAGATTTAATCATTGTATGCAAGTACCTCAGCTTGTATAGAAAACACGCGCGGCACAACACACTGACAACGCGTCTGCGCGCGGGATTCGTTATAATAATATGTAATCACGCGGACCGCGGTGCAGTGTGACAATCGCCTTAGGCCTTTGCTACGCTTAATTTGGTTATTCTAGTACATTTTTGTAAATAAATTCCAATAAGCCAAGTATTGTTATAATATTGTAATGTTTCGTAATAATTTTACAACTAAACAAATGAGATAAATTCTAATTTAATAAATTAATTCTTAGTTTTAGGACTGTCAAGTGGACGGGTTTTAATGAAATGTTATAAGTTATACATCAGATTATCACATAGCCGAAACCGCGAGCAGAACCTAGTAATAAAGTACTGAATTAAGGTGATCATAGTCTATAATAATAACCCTAATTCGTATTAACAAACAACTTGACCTTCTCTCTCATTAATATAGAATATATATTCTACACATACGAGTACGATAGATATTTATGCAAATGGCATAGTTGCTAATAGACACAATTATCACACTGATATGCGTCACAAACCGGTTTAACCTACGACACCGCAGGGAGTGCTGTTTACGTGTGACACATATTATTACATACCTAGGGCCTAACCACAGACTACAGAGTTTTTGTCGGCCGACAGTTGGGTCGGGCTGTTGATCAGTATCATAAACATGTATGAAAGTGCGCACATTGCATCGATTTGATATCTGCCGATTCTGCATAGATAAATTAGAAGGCTTCCCAGCGATAAATATACCTTATAGCACCCATAAGTTGAGAGCGAAACAAACCGTAGGTAGTTTCATGGTGAAAGTCATATTGTATAGCATGACCTTTCTGTATACAATGTATACAGACAAGCATTGTTACAAGATCAACAACAGATAAGTTTGTCAACACTAATTCAAGGCCTTAGTTTTCTAATACTACACAACTGCAATTATTTTGATAACAAATTCATAATTAACTACAACATTTTAATAACTACAGATTTTAATGTATTTTATCGACATGCCTGACTGAGTTATGAGTGATATTGATAAAATTACCCAATTAAATAATTACTTCCTGAATTCGAGCATGCACCTTTTTGCAGCGGATTCTCTGATATTTGTTTCTATTAAATAAAAAATAAATTTAAAGAGACTGATGGTTTAGTAGTCAAACCTTAATGTCGAGAAAAACAGTGATGTCATTAACATTTCCATGGGGGGGGTAGAAGTTGCTCGCGTCCGTAGGAAACACCACCTTTTCCGAGGCCCACCCTACACGTGCCCCCCGGGTGGTGCCAAATGAGCGACAACGCCGAACAACAGGCGGNTTTTCATGTGGACAACTAATCCCGCGGTATAAGGTTTGAGCGGTATTATTTGAACAAAGCCTCTTAATTTGTTTATGTATTTACCTTAAAATAAAATAAAATCTTTGTTATATTTTAGTTAATACATGAATAATAAATTTTTCATGTAGGTGATGTATTTTTTTTATTTAATTATGAATAAATGTACTAGTATGTATTTATCATTTTTAATTTATGAAAAAACAGTAAACGTTGTTTTGCTATCCATACTTGTTTTTGATATATTTACTTTGGGTTGAGTAAGGAATGCATTTGGGTAGAATAACGAAACTTTGTAATGGGTAGAGCTAGGAATACTAATTTGGGATGAGTGAAGAAATGGGTAGAGATGTCATGGGTCGAATACGGAATAACCCGCCGAACCGACCGCGCTACCTACTCACATACATGAATCAATTTACCTAATAGGTAGGTATCTCATAACAAACATGTGAAATGTTATTACATAAATTAATATGCATGAGTGCAAAGTAAGCACTACCTATTATATTACAATTTAAATAAACTAGTGTTCACCGGAAAGCACAGCGTAGGACGTCCACCCACAAGGTGGACCGACGACCTCATAAAGGTAGCAGGAAGGTGCTGGATGCAGGCCGCTACCAACCGGCCATTGTGGAAATCATTTTGGGGAGGCCTATGTCACAAAATATAACAGAAGGTAAACTCATGTATGTGGGGGGTAGAAGTTGCTCGCGTCCGTAGGAAACACCACCTTTTCCGAGGCCCACCCTACACGTGCCCCCCGGGTGGTGCCAAATGAGCGACAACGCCGAACAACAGGCGGCGGTTAAATAACCTGACCATTTGGTGCACCATAAACCAAGGAGGACTAAATCCCTCCTAAAAGCATGGCCATGTCACCTTGGGAAAGCGACATGTTAATCCTCCCATCCCCCTCCACTCCCCCCACACCTCAATAATCCTCACTCCTCCCCATCAACCCACTCCTCTCCAGTCTCCCACCCGCCACACCCTACATAGCCGAACCGTGGCGGCGCATAACCACACCGGGCCCGCAAAGCCCTGGGGCACTAAATACCCCCTAAAAGCTCGCACCACACTTTCACCATGGGCAGGTGGCAGTGTGCGTTACTATCTTCCGCCCGCACACCTTTAACTTATACCGTTTATGAACTATTATTTTGTGACCATCAAATTTGAGTGTAAATGAGAAGTACCCACTTAAACTTTTAAGTTGAAAATTTGATAGTATTCTGCTAAAAGCATAATTTTAATGTTTCTAGCAAAACTTTTGTACCTTGCATCAAAGATAGGAAGGTGATTACTTTTTTCAAATATCTGCAATTAATAACGAATCTGTCAAAAAAAAGAAATCTGAGAAAAATCAACCCAAAAANAACGGCAGTGTTTGCTTCGCGCTCGACTTGGCGGGGGCACTGCCGTGCCCCCAGATCTGTCAGTTTTTTATGTGATAGGTGGCAGACTAGCTGACGGATTACCTGATGGTAAGCAATTGCCGTCGCCCATGTACAGTCACGGAATGAAAAGGTTCGTCAGTTTTCAAATTGATTCCTTCAACGAATCGCGAGCACATATTACCTTTTGAAACTATGTTACAGAATAATCTCGAGTTAGAGAAAATAATCTTTAACTGTTCGTCAGTAAAGTTCAAAATTATACAGATCAAAGTTGTTTGACGATTTAACTTGTCAAAAAGATTATTATGATTGATAAACTAAAACCTTCTTGTTGGTTCAACCTGCCATTAACTATTAAATAAAAAAAAACTAACTACGTACGTTTGGTAACATTGCACTGATGGGATAAAAAAATAAACAAGCAAAACCTCATTCGTTAGCAAACGTCATATTTATTTAAATGTTAGCAGCAATGTTTCTTGCACGGTTATGTTGGCAGGTTTGACTCTTACAGTGCAAGCGAAAACCGACACTAAGGTGACGAACCTTTTCATTCCGCGACTGTACACCCGCAACATCAGTGAAGTTACAAGTGCGCTGCCAACCTTTTAAATCCCATTCCCCCCCAATTGGGCCTCCGGTATCCTCACTCTTTAGGAATGCAGCTGAAACGATACTGAATAAACATTTTTTCTTTCTTTCTTTCTTTCAAACGTATTCAATGGAGACCCCAATCCTGACCTGGCAGTATTAAGGGCATCCTTTGTGTCGTGAGGTCAAAAATAAGTCCTCCGGGAATTCCGAGCCTCACAATAACGTCACTCTATGACGTGATGTTTGTGACTATGATATATTGCCTGCAAGGAAAAGGGTAAAAATAGCAATTTTTCACTTGAAAAATCAACTGCCTGACGGACTTGAATCTTGATCCTTTTGTTTGCCGAGTAACTGCTGAAACCACTGGCTTAAGGAGCCATTCGCGCTCGTAAAAAATGTTATAATACAAGAATTTTCGGAGATATTTTAGTTTAAGCAAATCAATTTCGTTTTCGTTCGTTTCAGCATAATGACGTCCACTGCTGGACAAAGGTCTCCCCCAAGGATTTTCACAAAGACCGGTCCTGCACTGCCCTTCAGATCTTCAGAAATGTCAATACTACCACTTGCCACTGACTTTTTATGATTTTTGAAATGTTTAAACTATCACTTTGCAAACGAAGTGGAATGGGCGGTACCCAATGATATTTATATAATATCATTGGCGGTACCTAATCTTAAAACAGCGTTGTAACAATTTGTCCTTTATGTTCTGAAGAAGTGAGCACTTACTTAATTTAATAATCAACCTTTGAACATTAGTAACTAGCAAATATTCAGCATATTTTACATGATTTATAATTCATTAGACGAATTGTTTAAAAATTCTAAATGTTTTTATCTAATGGAAATGTAGGTAATTTTTTACTTTTCTGCTTCTATTCGTCTTATTAACTTATTCTCTCTAATAAATACTATTACAATTTTTGATTTATTTCTTCTGCGTTCTATTAAACAATCAACGCCATCTATTAGAGACTCTAGAAACTTTCCATACTATGAACTCTAGTAGCTAAGGCGGTGCACTGGTTTCGGCTTATAAATCATCTTATCATTTGGCCAACCTTTTTCCAGACAGCTCAAGCACTACACTCGGTCCCCAGTCTCCTGGAAGCTATAAACTTGAAATACGACTGGAACAGCGATCAGCTCCACCACACTATCTCAGTGTGATATTTAATTCATGTATAGGCGGCACATTATGATAAACACTGTTGCATCTTATGCAGCTGTAATAAAAGTGATTTTTAAATAAAAGTGTATAGTTTGTTGTGGTTGTACTTGCTTACTTTAAATTGTTTTACAGACTCGCAAAGTGCAAGTCGGGCAAATTGTTCGCGCTCGCATCTTGTTAAAAAGTTATTCTTTTTAAAATCTGTCCGATCGTGTTCAGTTTTTTCTGCATAATATAATATATGTAGTTTGAATTGGTTAGTTGGTTATTGTTAAACTTTAGCAAACTTTTTTGTTGTGTTTTATAGAATTTCACATAGTTACTTTTTATAAGTACAACAGAATATTTGAAAACTTATTACTTTACGTCATGCTTATTTTAATTTTGACTTAATTTGTGAAGAAAATGTGAAATTATTAAGTAGGTCAGCTCCTGCCCGCGACTTTGCACGAGTTCATTTCGGATTTTGTGTGACTTGAGAATTTTTCAAATTCTTTATTTTTAAGAATCCTTTCAGATTTTAAGGAACACTAATGGACTACTAGAAATGGCTTTAGTTTGTTTCATTTTGACCGAAGAATGTCGTGTATTTAGGTATTTAGGTATCCTTTATATTGTTTTAAACTTTCATGGTCACTAACATAATTATTATTACTGACTAACACCTCACCCGCAAGTTTCCTCAGTTACTCCGTGACCATGGCGCTTGCAACAATGCCGAAATATCGGAAACTCAAAATTAAGGTGCATGGTAGCAATCCCGTCAGTAATAACAATTAGGTATCCTTTATTGTTTAACAGTTTCACGCGTAATATTAACAACTATTGTAACAACATAATTAACGCAATAAATCATAACAATAAATCACCTTCAAACCGCGAAATAGTTAAACAAACGAATAATAAACACGTCATTTATATTCGACCGCTCATTTAATTTGGGGCAACTAATCTAAATTNCATAAATTAGATTGAAATTTTACACTTGAGTTGTATTTCAGATGTCAGCACATTAAACTACATTTTTGTTGCAAAACAGCCTGTATTAAAATGAAATAAAATGCCACTGGGTTTAGCTTGCTATCGTCCATGTCCATGCTTTTATTGAAGGTCGTGATTCAAAATTCAGTAACTAATTAATTTTCATTTTTTTTATTATTATAATACAATAGAGATAGGTAGGTACATAATTGGTATTGAATCGTGAAGCAAAAGAATTTAAAAAATCTCACAAATGCCTCATCCAAGTATTTTCTTCGTCTCTAAATACACATTGTTGGAATTAATGGAGAGTTATGATTTTGA